CATTGTTTCCATCAAACTTTATTCAACGATGAAAAAATATGTCTAGTATATGTCAGTGATAAATTTCTTCAGTTTCAGCACTGCTTTGCTATTCTTAGGACACTTTTCTGAGGAATTACCTGCTAAAGAATTTAGGGGTCAAGAGTCATGATGTCTCCACTTGCTTTCAACGGCCCGTTTATCGCCATCACCATCACATAAACATGAAGAGAGATAAAAGCAAATATTACCGGGCAGAGAATCTGGGGGATGAGTTAGATAGATATTAGTCTCGTAACTGCGATGGGTTTAAACATCTTCAAAAGAGGACATTACAAACTGCCCCACCCTGTTCCAGACATCCGGGCTTCCTTTCTCTCAAAGGATATCAAACTCGACCCCGAGGTGAGGTCTTCTCAGGCCTAATTGGTCCAGCTACAAAGGAGTCTTCAGCGGTACATGAGGGTTCCTGGAAGAGGCGTTGCTAATGGCGTTTCGTTAGTTTGCTATTGGCAAATTCCTTCCTAGGGAGGGGGCGCCCCTTTGCACGCACAGCTGGGATGCACCAGTGTGTTTTCCAGCTTAAGCATTCGTGCTGATTTCATAGGTGAGAGCTGCTACTTCTGAGTCATTTTAATTGGCATTATTCTTATTAGGGGTGAAGCTGAGCTCCTTTTTATAGAGTTAAGGGCTGTTCATATTTGTTTCTCTGTTCATTGGCCTTTTTAAAAGATTTTATTTGTTTACTTGTAGAGAGAGGGTAAAGGAGGGAGAGGAACATCTATGCCCAAGAGAAAGGTCAGTTGGTTGCCTTGCCCACGCCCCCAACCAGGAGCCTGGCCCCAGGGCAGGCACGTGCCCTGATCTGGAATAGAACCGGCGACCCCTCCATTCCAAGATAGGTACTGATCCACTGAGCCACAGCAGCCGAGGCATCATTTCTTTTGTACATTTTAAAACAATGGACATTTAGCCCTGGCTGGCGTGGTTCACTGGATTGAGCACTGACCTATGAACCAAAGGATCACCAGTTTGATTCCCAGTCAGGGCACATGCCTGGGTTGCAGGCCAGGTCCCCAGTAGGGGGCACAAGAGAGGCAGCCACACATTGGTGTTTCTCTCCCTCTTTCTCCTTTTCTTTCCCTCTCTAAAAGTAAATAAAATCTTTTAAAAAATAAAATATTGGACATTTGGTGTTTTTCTTATATATTAAGGAGATAAACATTTTGTGTGTGACATAAGTTGTAAATATTTCCTCTGAGACTGTCGCAGTTTTCTTCACTTATAGAATGATCTTTTCTTGAATAATTTCTAAATCCGTTTAATTAGCTTTATTTATAAATTTTATTTCATGGCTCCATGATTTTCTTCAACTTTTTTATCATAAAAAATTGCAAACATATAGAAAAGTTAAAAGAAGCCTACAGTGAACACCCATGTGTCTACCGCTTAGATTTTATTACCAATATTTTAACATGCTTGTCTTATTGTAATTCTATCCAGTCTACCCATTATTCTATCTACTAATTCATCTAATGCATTTTCAATGCATTTCAGAATAAGTTGTAGACATCAGTACATCTCCCTTAAATAATTCCCGGATATCACTAACTAGAATTCAATGATTCTTTCTGTTGCGGCTTTCAACTTTCTGTATAAATTAGAAAGATTCTGTACCGGCTAAGATAGAGGTGTAGGTAGACACACTGTGCCTCTTTGCACAACCAAAAGAACAACAACAAATTAAAAAATAAAAACCAACCAGAACTGCCCGAAAATCGAATTGTGTGGAAGTCTGACAACCAAGGAGTTAAAGAAGGAACATTCATCCGGATGGGTAGGAGGGGCAAAGATGGGCAGCCGGGTGGAGAGGACTCTCAGCAAGGCAGCGAGTGGCTGGCAGACCGGGATAAACTGAGAGGAACAACTGGGGACTGAGACAGACCACTGGGTCCTAGCACAGGAAAATACAGCCTCAAAACCTCTGACTGAAGAAATCTGTGGGGGTTGCAGGGCGGGAGAAACTTTCAGTCTCATAGAAGAATTCAATGGAGAGGCCCACAGGGTCCTAGAGAGTGCACATAAGCCCACCCATCTGGGAGTCAGCACCAGAAGGGCCCAGTTTGCTTATGGGAAGTGACTGAAAGCCAGCAGAGAGCAGAGCAAGCAGCCCCGTTCCCTCTCGGACCTCTCTCCCACATCCAGTGCCACAACGCTTGTGGAGACAAAAAAAAGTGGCTCCAATGAAAGAACAGATCAAAGCTACAGAAAAAAATACAGCTAAGTAATGAAGAGATAGCCAACCTATCAGGTGCACAGTTCAAAACACTGGTAATTAGGATGCTCACAGAATTGGCTGAGTATGGTAGAAAAATAAAGGAAAAAAAATGAAGGCTATGAAAAGTGAAGTAAAGGAAAATATACAGGGAACTAACAGTGATGGGAAGGAAACCGGGTCTCAGATCAATGGTTTGGACCAGAAGAAAGAAACATTCGACCAGAACAGAATGAAGAAACAAGAATTCAAAAAAATAGGAGAGGCTTAGGAACCTCCAGGACAATTTTAAACGTTCCAACATCTGAATCATAGGGGTGCCAGAAGGAGAAGAGGAAGAGCAAGAAATAAAAAACTTATTTGAACAAATAATAAAGGAGAACTTCCCCAACCTGGCAAAGGAAATAGACTTCCAGGAAGCCCAGGAAGCTCAGAGAGTCCCAAAGAAGTTGGGCCCAAGGAGGAACACACCAAGGCACATTGTAATTATATTACCCAAGATTAAAGACAGGGAGAGAATCTTTTTTTTTAAATATTTTATTTATTTATCTTTAGAGGGGAAGGGAAGGAGAGAGGGAGAGAAACATCAATGTATGGTTGCCTTTTGTGCGTCCCCTGCTGGGAACTGGCCTGCAGGGAACTGGTCTGCAACCCAGGCATGTGCCCTGACTGGGAATCGAACCGCGATTGTCTGGTTCGCAGGCCCGCGCTCAATCCACTGAGCTACACCAGCCAGGGCCGACAGGGAGAGAATCTTAAAAGCAGCAAGAGGAAAGGAGACAGTTACCTACAAAGGACTTCCCATAAGACCATCAGTTGATTACTCCAAAGAAACCTTACAGGCAAGAAGGGGCTGGAAGGAAGTATTCAAAGTCATGAAAGGCAAGGACCTGCAACCAAGAGTGCTCTATCCAGCAAAGCTATCATTTAGAATGGAAGGGCAGATAAAGTGCTTCCCAAATAAGGTCAAGTTAAAGGAGTTCACCAGCCCTGGCTGGTGTAGCTCAGTGGATTGAGCACGGGCTCTGCGAACCAGACAATCGCGGTTCGATTCCCAGTCAGGGCACATGCCAGGGTTGCAGGCAGGTTCCCTGCAGGCCAGGTCCCAGCAGCGGACGCACGAAAGGCAACCATACATTGATGTTTCTCTCCCTCTCTCCTTCCCTTCCCCTCTAAAGATAAATAAATAAAATCTTAAAAAAAAAAAAAGGAGTTCACCAAGCCCTTATTATATGCCCTTATTATATGAAATGTTAAAGGGACTTTTCTAAGAAAAAGAAGATTAAAAAAATGAACAGTGAAAGGACAGCAAACTCACAACTATCACCGACTGAACCTAAAAAGAAAACAAAAACTAAGCAAACAACTAGAACAGGAAAAGAATCACAGAAATTACCTGGAGGGTTATCAGCGGGGAAGAGGAGGGGAGGAAGGGGGAAAGTACAGGGAATAAATAAAATAAATGGTAGGTAGAAAATAGACAGGGGGAGATTAAGAATAGTATGGGAAATGGAGAAGCCAAAGAACTTATATGTAAGACACATGGACATGAACTAAGGGGGAGGGGGATGTGGGTGGGAGAGGGTACCCAGGGTGGAGGAGAATAAAGGGGGGAAATGGGACAACTCTAACAGCATAATGTATAAAATATATTTTTTTTAAAAAAAAGATTCTCTCACTCCTAAAATGGAAAGGAATTCATTCATGTATTCTTCTACTTATGTTTCCATTATTACATGGGATTTCTGGTGCATTTAGGCAGGTGAGTGGTGTGAGGGACAGATTTGATTTATATACATACACACTCACTTGGAGGAGTCTCTTATTTTTAAAATTACTTTTATAGAGATATAATTCACATACCATAAAATTTGTCCTTTGAATGTGTACAATATAGTGGTTTTTAGTGCATTCACCAAGTTTTACAATGATCACCCCTACATTTATTTGTATATATACATATATATGTTTATATCAGCAACTTTCAACTGGTGTGCCACAATAATTTTTAAGATATGCAATACCAAACCCTGGCTGGTGCGGCTCAATGGATTTAGTGCTGGCCTGCGAACAAAAAGGCTGCTGGTTTGATTCCTGGTCGGGACCCATGCCTGGGTTGTGGACCAGGTGCCCAGTGAGGGTGGGGAGGCCACAAGAGGTAACTGACCAATGTATCTCTTGCACAGTGATGTTTCTCTCCCTCTCTTCCTCCCTCCCTTCCCTCCTCTAAAAATAAATAAATTATTGTTTAGAAAAGTACGCTATACATGACTATTTAGTCAGGGGCACTGACTTCATTTCCTTCAGATTGTCCAATAAAAAAGTGACAACAGCCAACACACATCAATAGTTGTCTGGTGTGAATGAATCAAAATTATACTTTTTTTTGTCTGATCGGCAAAACATATATTTTTGGGTGTGCTGCAGAATGTTTGTAATTAGTCTATGTGCGCTATCATATGAAAAAGGTTGAAAATAGCTGGTATATATACATCCACATATATAGTTATATCTCGCCCCCCCCCCGCCCAAATAGCTATCTAGCTGTCTCAGTTCCACATATTAAAAAGGCCACCTTTCTGTCAGAGGTTTAAGATGCCACAGTTGTCACCAAATATTCGGGTGTTCAGGTGTCCAATTCTCTCCCATGCTTGTCATCTCTTCACACATGTGGGATAGTGGTGCTGACATCAACAGCACCGGCCCAGGACTGTGGGAGGTGGGGCAGCAAGTGGCCACAAGGGCTTCAAGGCCTTTTATTAGAGGGCTTTACTTTTGTAATAGAACTGGTCGACAGATATGAAAGCTTGACTCCCCAACGACTGAGAAAAAGCCAGTTGGGCAGGAGGAGAGCCACCAGGAAACTCTGGGAAGGAAAGGGACCAGGAATCAGAATACACCCCACCCGTGGGTCCCCCATCTCTTCTCCTGTCTCCCCAGCCCAAGGTGGAGGCCCTCCCCACCTCTGGACATCTCCTCACTTCAGAGTGAGGACTAGTGGACCTGGGCCAGGAGGTGTCCCATCCAGCTCTGCGCCCATAATTGCCCCATGGAGGCACCTGCACAGCGTGACTGAGGCACCCGGGAATTTGGGAGGTGAGGCCAAGGGTGTCCAACGCCTGGCGAGCGTAGTCTTCAGAATTCATTAAAGCCATTCAATGTTTCATGTTAGCGGTCATACCTGATTCGACCAGGACGGGGTTCACTGTCTGCAGGCAGGAAGGAGGTGCAGGGAAAAGCTCCCCTCTCAACCCAGCTAAATTCCCAGGCTCCGTTTGGGAATCCCAGAGTTCCACCCATTTGCTGCTCCAGGAGTCACGTCTCAGAGACCCCGCCCCTTTAGGCCCCGCCCAGACCCGCGCCGGCCTCGCCCTATAGAGGCCCCGCCTGGCGACGGACACGCCCCCTGAAACTGCCAGCAGTTTGGGAGGTTGCTCCTCTGGAGTGTTTGGGGAGCCCAGCATTCTCCACCCTTCTCTGCCCCAACCCCGGAGCCTCCACGGTCTCTAAGCCCCCACCCCCGCCAGAGCCCCCTCCTTCAGAGCTGCCACTCAGGTCACGTCCCTTGTGAGCCCCGCCCCTGCGGTCAGGCACCTGAACCAGGACTCCCTGAGAGAAATACTCCGCGCCTGCTGCCTGGGAGAAGCTCCGCACAAAGGCCTGCGAGGAAGGAGAGCGGGTCTCAGGCTCGCGAGCCTCCGCGCGCAGGCTCTTCGGGCGCGTCCCCGCCCCAGCGCGGTCCCTGCTCCCAGCCCCGCCCCTCGTGCTCACCTAAATCCCTGAGGGCTTCCCGCTCCAAGCCCTCCCTCTATTCCCATCCCCCACTCTGTGCAACCGGCCCTGTCTGCGCTCCTTCCCCGTTGTTCTCTTGCTCCTTCGCCTCCGTTTCTCTGAGTAATTTTTTAAAAACTAGACTGTGCCCCAGATATCACACGCGGGCGCGCGCGCGTTCAGGGCTACGGCAGGATGACCCTCGCCCGGGTCTGCGGGGCCTGGGTACCTCCCACGCGGAGAAAAGTGGGTTGGGTTTCCCGCCAAGAAATGAAGAGATGTTGATGACGATGCCTTTGCTCAGGAGGAGGAAGCAGAGCTGAAAGGTGGGGAGGAGGGGGTCCAGGTGATTCCCGCCCCTCCCGCCCCCCGAGCCACGCCCTAATCTGAGAAACCTCGGAGGGAAAGGGAAGTGTCGGAAACGTGAGTGGGACCGCTGGGGAAGGGGAAAAGCCTGGAGGTTGGATCGGGGAGCACCCAGAGTGGAAGAGGAAAAGAAGGCCTCTTACCTGGACACCATCTGGGGCAGGACAATTGCGGTCATCTGTAGGGCAGAGTGGGCAGGGCCTCATTTTTCTCTTTCCAATACTTCAATCTGCATCGCCCTCCTCCTCCAGTCCACTCCCACCCCCTATCTTTTTTTTGTGTGGTAAGTGAATATCCCTCCCCCCCCCCCGCACCTTCTCCACGGGGTGGGGAAGGGCGCTAGTCCGGGGAGGAGGATTCTGCGGATCCCCCAGAGTGGTCAGAGCTATGCTGACTTTGCACTTAGCTTCTCCTAGTGGGGTCTCACCTGGGCCACAGACATGATGTTGCAGTTTATAACATCCGAGAGTCTCTAGGGAAAAACCAAAAAAAAAACAGAACCATCAGTCCTTCCCTTCACCAACCCTCCTCAACTCCCACCTTTTCTTATTTCCTAGCTTACTTTTCTTTTAAGATGGAACACGTATATATCTTTAAAAGTAGCATCTACTAGAATTTTTTAAAATATTTTATTTACCTTTAGAGGGGAAGGGAAGGAGAGAGGGAGAGAAATATCAATGTATGGTTGCCTCTCGGGTGTCCCCTGCTGGATAGGAACTAGCCTGCAACCCAGGCATGTGCCCTGACTGGGAATCAAACCATGGTTGTTTCGTTCCTAGGCCTGTGCTCAATCCACTGAGCTACACCAGCCAGAGCGCATCTACTAGAATTTAAAAGGCACATGCCCTTTGACCCATGAACTCCACTTCTGGACGTTGATTTCTTTCCAAGAAACTCACACATATGGGAAATGAATCGTGTCCAAAGATATTGGTGGCAACAGTGTCATCACAGGTAATAGGAAACATCCAGAACTTCATCCCCGGCGGGATGATTAAATAAATATGATGGAGCCCAATACTGTGCAACAGGTGACCCAGCGATGGGTCAGCTGTTGCTTCCAATTCGAATAATCCCCAAGATTCACGGTTACTTGTCTAAGGTACAGAGCAGAACAGTAGGTTGCCTGACATCTGGATAAAAATGACACACACATGCCTCTCCACAGGCATAAAGACAAAGACATCTACCACATTTTTAACTGGGGGTCACTTTGGGGAAACGGTGTGGCGGGAGAAGGGAGATTGTCACCTCATTTCATAAACTTCTCTCTCTGGATTTTTTGACCCATAAACTTTTTTAAAATAAGTTTTTAATTTATTTTTAGAGAGAGGGGAAAGGTGGGAAAAAGAGGAGACAAACATAGGTGTGAGAGAGAAACACCGTCGGTTACCTGCTGTAAGCTCCGCCCCCCCCTCCGGGGAACCAGGCAGGTGCCCTGACCAGGGATCGAACCAGCGATCGGGAGGACACCCAATCAACTGAACCCCACCAGTCAGCGCTTGACCCGTAAGCTTTTTATAGAAGTACACCATACACACACCAAAGTGCACAGATTTTTAGTGTAAAAAATAAATACAAATCTTTCTTCTCTACCACTCTCAAGAAAGTATTGAGTTTCCCAGATTCTTCCCCCCAGCAACCATGACCCTGACCTCCTCCCCAGTTAACCATTACCTTGACCTCTAAAACGCTCTAGAATACTTTCCTCCAGTTCTGAACTTCCTGCGCGAGTGAAATCATACACTGTATATTTTTATCCCTGGCTTTCTCTGCTAAACATTCTGTTTATAGGATTCATCCATGTTGTGTGAAAGCAGAAGTAAGCAGAAGTGTACCTGGCTGTTGTAGCTCAGTGGATTGAGCACGGGCCTGCAAACCAGACAATTGCGGTTCGATTCCCAGTCAGAGCACATACCTAGGTTGCACACCAGGTTCCCTGCAGGCCAGTTCTCTGCAGGGGATGCACGGAAGGCAACCATACATTGTTGTTTCTCTCCCTCTCTCCTTCCCTTCCTCTCTAAAGATAAATAAGTACTTTAATTAAAAAAAAAAAAGCCCCCTTTGCCGCCTTCCTTATATACTCCACACGCTCTTCAGTCTGGTCCAAAATCGAGACAGACTAACAAGAGGAAAGAACCAAATTCAGTACATGCACCTGTAAAGGAAGCCCGCACACCTACCTGCGAGAATTGGAGAGCCCGCATGCGGGAGCCGTGCAGAGACAGGGAGGGAACGTGGGTGTATGAGACGGCCCGAGCGAGGGAGGAGGTCAAGTGCCTTGGGGTTCAAAGGGTCATTTGCAGGGTGGTAAGAGCAGAATTCATCAATTAATTTTCAGAGAGACAGGGACAGAGGAAGAAAGGGAAACATCGACGTGCCGGAGATACATCTATTGGTTGCCTCTTGCGCGCCACCTACTGGGGAATCTGACCCACAACCCAGGCCTGTGCTCTAAGAATTAAAACGGCGACGCTTTGGTTCTCAGGCCAGCACTCAAACCACTGAACCATGCCAGCCAGGGCTCTGTTGTCTTTTTGCATCTAAGATAACATTGAAATAACAGAGTGATCTCCTTTTCTGGTTCGCTCAGGAGACACCCACGGCACCAGAGCAGAGACCATAGAACCCCTGATTGTCACCCTGTTCCTTGAATACGACCTCTATGTTCTGTAAATGTAATTATTAACTACCCTGTATCCACCTGTGGAAGAAGGCTGATGTATCTCCGTTTTACTTTTTATCCAGTCTCAGAGATCTCCCTGCTTTGCTTTCTCTGGCCTGCCTGATCTACCTACCACCAATGAATTTCACGGAGTCCTCCTTACGTCTCCTCCTTGGGGTGTAACTATATAAAATAAGCTGCAAAACCGCCATGCTTTGGAGCATTTTCTCAATCTGTTAAGATTTCCCAACAATTGTCCTCAGTTTGGGCTTAAATAATCTCATAAAACTTCTCTATAGCTTTGGATGTGTCTTAACATTGACAGCTAGACATCATCTCCCGCACAGAGACCCATCCAAAACGGTGCGGTGGTCGCGGTGCTTGCGCAGGAGGTTCCTGCGATGTACGTGGGTTCCTCGGCTCCCAGCTCCTGCAAGGCCGGCTGCACAGCAACGCCCAGCTTCCCCGGGCACCCACCTCAGATGAGTTTGCAAAGCCTCCTGGCCCTTTCTGACTTCATTCGACAATTTGTAATGGGTATTTTCACCGTCAATATAAAGACAAGAGACTGCAGCAATAAGGATGGGAGCAGATAAAATTTAGCACATTAAAAACATCATAAAATCATCAAACGTCAAACAAAATTAAATTGCAACCTGTGTGGCAGACATGAAATTATATGCCTAATATATAATGATTTCTTATAAGTTAATAAGAGAAAAGATGACACAGGTAAAAAAAAATGGGTGAAAGCCCTGGCTGGTGTGGCTCAGTGGATTGAATGCCAGACTGAGAAGCAAAGGGTCGCTGGTTTGATTCCCAGTCAGGGCACATGCCTGGGTTGCAGACCAGGTCCCCTGTAGGGGGCGCACAAGAGGCAACCACACACTGATGTTTCTCTGCCTTTCTTCCTTCTTCCCACCCCCTCTCTCTAAAACTAAATTTAAAAAAATTTTAAAAAACTATGAACATGAAAAAAACAACAAATTCACAGCTATCAACAACTGAAATCTAAAACAAACAAACAAAGCAAACAACCAGAACAGGAAGAGAGTCATAGGTATGGAGATCATTTAGAGGGCTCTCAATGGGGAGGGAGAAGGGGGAGAATGGGGGGAAAGGTGCAGGGATTAAAAAAGCATAATTGGTAGGTAGAAAATAGACAGGGGCATGTTAAGAAGATTATGGGAAATGGAGAAGCCAAAGAACTTATATGCACGACACCTGGACATGAACTAAATTGAGGGGGGAGATGCTGGAGGGAAGGGGGTTACCGGATGGAGGAGGCAAAGGGGGTAAAACTGGAACAACTGTAATAACATCATCAATAAAATGTACTAAAAAAAAAACCAATGTGGTTGGCTGGGCTGGACAATCTCAGTGTTATTACAGAAATGGCTTCTCGATGCTTCGAAAATAGCAGAAAACCGGAAGAAAAGGGAATGAAAATCAACAGTCTGCACTTTGCAAGCTGAGTCTTCAGGAAAACGGAAGATGATTCTAAGTCCTCCCACTTTTCCTGCCAAACCAGCGGCAGGGTAGAGCCTTACCGATTTGTCTCAGGACGAGGGCAGATGCTGTGAAGGCCGACATCGGTCCAGCGATTGCCCTGCACCTCAAAGAAAGGAAGCTCACATATCCATCCCCCTAGACCCGTGTCTTCAGAGAGTCATTTAAAAAAAAAAATCATTGATTGATTGATTGACTTTAGGGAGAGACAAACATGGATTCGCTGATCCACTTCTTGACCCACTCATTGGCTGATTCTTTTTTTTTTTTAATATTTTATTATTTATTTATCTTTAGAGGGGAGGGGGGGAGGAGAGAGAGAGAGAAACATCAATGTATGGTTGCCTTTTTGTGCGTCCCCTGCTGGGAACTGGCCTGCAGGGAACCGGCCTGCAACCCAGGTATGTGCCCTGACTGGGAATCGAACCGCGATCGTGTGGTTCGCAGGCCCGAGCTCAGTCCACTGAGCTACACCGGCCAGGGCCATTGGCTGATTCTTAATTGAACCCACGACCTTGGTGTATCAGGATGATGCTCCAGCTCTCCCAAGCTACCTGGCCGGGGCCTCAGAGGGTCCTTTCTGCCCCATTCTGAGGGGCAATTCCTGATGAAGGACTTGACCCGTCATTGGCAGTCACACCCCAGTTCCCCCCACCTAACTCAGAGGACCAGGTGGTGGATTTCTTCACTGGCGCTGGTGCGACTTGTCCTAGCACTGCCTTGGAGGACCAGTCTCTACCCGTCACCTCTCCTTCCGTTCAGGCTGTTGGCAATCTCTGGGAAAACCTGTTTTATTGCCTCTTTACACCCACATGCCTTCCTAGTTTTGGGCTCCTCACCAGCAAACCTTTTAGCTAGAGATTTGGTGTGAAATTTTTTTTAAAAGACTGAATTTATTATTTTTAAAGATTTTATTGATTTATCTTTAGAGGGGAAAGGAAGGAGGGAGAGAAATATCAATGTGTGGTTGCCTCTCATGTGTCCCCTGCTGGGAACTGGCCTGCAACCCAGGCATGTGCCCTGACTGGGAATCGAACCAATGATCCTTTGGTTCGCAGGCCTGCACTCAATCCACTGAGCTACACCAGCCAGGGCTCAGTTCAGTCTTTTTAAAAAAGATTTTGTCTTTTAGAGGGGGAAGGGAGAGAGGGAGAGCAACATCAATGTATGGTTGCCTCTCATCTGCCCCCCACTAGGGACCTGGCCCACAACCTGGGCATGTGCCCTGACTGGGAATTAAACCAGCGACCCTTTGACTTGCAGGCTGGTGCTCAACCACTGAGCCACACCAGCCAGAGCTTGTTGGTTTAGTCTTGTATGTACCCTGACCAAGGACATAAGAATCTGCAACCTTGGTGTATCAGAACCACACTCTAACCAACTGCGCTACCCAGCCAGGGCTCCCCCTGCCAAATTCTTAAAGCTTAGGCCACACCCTGGTTCAATATATTAATCTTACTCTGTAAGATCAATACAGAGGGGGACCTTATTTGAGTCCCTCATTCTCCCTAAGGCACTAGCTGAAGGGACCATAAAGCCTCTACATCTCAACTTCAACAGGTGCAAACAACTGTCACCTACTCGGGACATGAGTTACCCCAGGGCACGCAAAAGTGTACCCCGAAAAACACCTTGAGTCAATGGTCTCTCCCTCTCCCCAAAAAAGCAGTTATGAAAACCTCCAGGGGCAGCGGGCTATTGCTACCAATGGGTTTCGCTGCCTTTGCTAAATCTTTGTATGCCCTCCTCCCAGATGCTACTCAGAGCCAATTTCCTGGTCCTTGGTCACCTTCTTCTGTTACTTAAATAGGTAACGTTCCCTTCTGACTCAGGGCCTTTGCATATGCTGGTCCTCCTGCCTGAAACTCTCTCTACTCCAGTTTCATTTATTTATACCTTTAGGGTTCAGCTCAAACTCACTCATCGCTTCCTCAGCAAAGCCATCTGACCTCCCCGATCCGTCTCCCCAGACGAGGTCGCCAGAGGGCAGTTACACCCTCACAAAACTCGTTATCTCTTTATGACACTAATCATAGTGACAGAAAAATTAAAAGTACAAGCCGTAATTATTAAAACTATCCATTTATTTATGAGAGTATTTTATTAATGTCTGTCTCTACCAGTGGACTGTGAGCTTGGCGAGGGCCCAGACTGGCTGTGGCTCCCAGCATGCCCTGCAAATGTATACAACAGAATACAAGGAAGTGCAAAACCAGGCAAAAAAGCAGAACACTCGGAACCCTCATCGCCAGCTACAGCTTCACCTTCAACAGGCCAGGCAGCAGGTCCCAGCTCTCGTGGGACCCTCACGTCTCAGAGAAATCACTAGCCAACCCACCCCAGCACAGGTGGAGAGATAAGAGGAAATGACCACGTCAGTCAATGTTGTGCGTTTTCATGAGCCTGCCATAGTGTTCTTCCCTACTTCTCCATGCTGGGGGTTCAGCTCTCAGCTTTCAGTTGGGACAAAAGAGGGGGGACAGGAATAAATGTGAATGAGGCTAAAGGGTTAGGGTTGTAGCCAGAAGAAGGAACAGAAATCCAAGTCCTCTTAGCATCCAGGGGTCAACACGATGAACGAACTCCATGCGTGCGGTCCGCCTCTGCAAAGCAGTATCGCTGCATCCAAAGCAGCAGGGCTGCCTGTGTTGAGCCCTAAGGGAAGGGTGCCATTATCCCCCTGGACAGTCAGGAGGGGGCCCGTTTTCTATCTGGAGCTCAGGCACAAGGTGCTACTTTGGCCTGGAGAGGGTGGAGGGCCCATCTACTTGGGTCTGGAGGAGATGCCCCTAGAGTGGGCGGCAGGCCACACATCTTGGGCCTGATGACGAAAGCTGCAGCGGGTTTCGAAGCCCAGGAACAGGCAGGTAGTATACGCTGGAAGGGAAAAGCAAAAACGAAGTAAAACCAATCCTAAGGGTAAAACTGGACCCAGGAGATGAGATCAGGCTCACCGGGGCCAGCTAAGACCAAGGAAAAGGAGCCAGAGATGGCAGAGCAAGGACTAAAACTAGGAGATAGAAACAGGGTCCAGCCAAGGCAGACAAAATTCTAGAAGTCTAGCTAGGAGTGGAGGCGGAGCTAAGAGGGTGAAGGAAGGCGCCAGGGAACCTGGCCAGGAAGCTCAGAGCCTGTGGGATGCACTACCCAGTGGAAGCACGGTGTCTGTACGGAGGGGGGAAGGTGACAGCCCCAACAAATAGATGCTGGGGCTCCTGTGGGAAGCAGCATCAACCCCTGGGAGCAGAGACCAAACTTAGAAAAGCAGAGCACAGGGCAAGGTGGGCACAGTCAGCACCCAGGATGGAGACAGATCAAGGAGGGGCCAGTTACCCAGGGGCTGGAGCCAAGCCTCAGACACAGGCTGCCAGGAACCAGGGAGAAGGGCCAGGACCACATGGAGAACCAGACACAAGGGGCGGGTCTGAGCACCATTACCTCACCCCCCATCAACACACACGTTTGCAACGTTATTCACGGGGTGGGGTTAGCCCTGAGGGTGACAACAGTACGGGATGGGGGCTGTACAGAGCCAGGTCACAAGGGCTCCCGGAGGATGCAGAGTCAGGCAGGTTATAGCTAGGCCCGCGGTCCTGGGTCTTGCTTCGGCTCAGTCCCCGGCACGCCGCGGATGTCTGGCAGCAGGCTGCAGCTGGCCACGATGTCCAAGCGCTCGGCCAGCGCGCAGAGATCCCCCCGTGCCAGGCGCACGCTGTGGGCTGCCGCCAACCCCGCCGTCTGGGCGGCCGCCAACCTACTGGCCAGGGCAGCCACATCGCGGCCCGCCCGGCGGTACACGCCGCTCACAGCGGCCGCCACATCGTGGTCTAGGCGCGCCTGGCTCTCCGCCAGCCGGAGCTGCAGCAGCGAGAGCGCAGGGGCGGCCGCTGGGGGCTCTTCGGTACCCCAGGCTTCCCCAGCCGTTTCCCGCTGCACCACGAGCGGAGGCAGGTCCCGCGGTGCGGCCGTCGGTTCCGGGTCGGTGTCCGAGTCGGTCTCTGCGGCTTCCCCGGCCACCCGTAGCCCGGTGGGGCGGCCGCGCGTTGGGCCCGAGGGTCCCAGGTACAGCTCCTCTTCCGACGAGGTTGCAGAAAGCTCTGAATCTGTCTCGGCCGCCTCCCCTCGCACCACAGTCTCAAGCCTCCGCGGCGGTCTCCGCCGACGACCCTGAGACGCCATCGCGCCGAGCTAGGTAGAAGAGGGAAAGCACCGTGTGAGAGGCGGGCGCCAGGCGGTAGTTAATAAGCGCAGTTTCTGGATTCCCTGGCCCGCCACTATCTTAGCCGAGTCATCATTCCTGCCGGCGACGATCCGGGCTATTGGACCCCAGCCTCCTCAGTTTACTGATATGTAACAGGACCAGTTTGATCAAGACTGAGGCCTCAGCTCCCAGAATCCCACACTGTCCTCTTTCTAATTTTGCTTCCTCGCAGAGGCTACATCCGGAAGCACACAGTTTCCTCGAACCGCTCAGGGAACAGTGCCAGGGTCACAGGAATGACAGTCAAGCGGGACTCGAAAGGGTGCGCGGAAGGTAAAGCTAACACCGAAGACCTTACCGGGTCTAGGAAGCTCGGAGCCAGCGGAAGGTGCAACCTAGCGCAAGTACGGTGTCCCTTCGGTGGCAGCCGCAACCAATAGGGCAGCAGTTCGGGAGAGTGTTGGCCAATCATCTGGGCCTCATGGCTCCCAACCGGGAAGCAAGCCGTCAAAACCAACTTTGTGGGCGGGTGTGAAGAGTCGCGTGAATAGAGGTGCGACCAATAGAAAAGTGTTTTAGCTGGCGCTTCCGGGTTGTGCCACGAGGCGAGAGGACTGACAGGGATTTTAAAACAAGTTACGTCACGTGTAGCCAGGGATTCGGCCAATGGCTATGCTAGAGGACCCGGAAATTTGGAAGGCCATCTCCGGAGTTCACGCGCACACCACGTGAGTCCGGAGAAGTAAGGCGGAGCTAGTCTGAAAGGCCAATGAAAGCATGAGTAGGCGGGGTCACATGCAGGCAGGAGGCGGAGCTAGTTTACCCGAGCCAATGAGAGCATAAAGCGCTGGGCCGGAGTTGAGCGCGCGAGGCAGACAAATGGTCGACGCGGTTCTGTTCGAGTTTTTACACACGGAGATAGTGGCGGAGTTGTGGGCACACGAACCCGACCCCGATTCCAGCCCCGGGGTGAGCACCAGGCTTCGTTTGCGGGGGGAGGAGGCGCGGATGGTGGAGGGAAGGTGAGGTCGAGGCCCCAGGGAGCACGGAGGGTGCGGCAGCGGCTGGGATCGAACTCCGGCCCCGCCCCTGCCTCGCTGGGAGACCTGGGCCTCTGGCTTCCTCTTCTGTAAAGTGGAGGTGGCCAGCTGGGCTGGTATCGCTGGTTACTTCTAGAATTGAGCGAAATAGCTCGAGGTAAGGTCTGAGCTCGAAGCCTAGCACAGAAAAAAGCGGGTAGTAATTATAGTGATTACTATTAATGGATGTGTACTCAGGATTTCTGGGTTAAATCCCGCCGTCATCACTCCCTAGGTGTAAGAGCCTAAGTTTCTCCCTTTATGAAACGAGCATCATAACAGCACCTAAGTGTCAGAATGGGCCATTTATTAATTCAACACTTACTGAACGCCTGTTAGATATTCCGGGCGCTGTTTCGGTGTTCTCGCGAAGCTTACATTTCAGTGGGGTTGTCAAACAATAAATAAAACATTCCACCTGCTAGTGGAAAGTTCTACAAAGAAAACTTAAGTCAAGGAAAGGAAACGTATGGAGTGGTAGATGATGGAGGAGAGCATTTCAAAGGAAGAGAAGGGAGGAAGCAAGCCCCAGGGATAAGCGTGCCAGGAAGAGGTGCAAAACCCCAAAGTAGGAGCATGCTTAGCATTTTGGAAGTTGGTCCTCATAAAATACAAACGAGCTCAAGCTTTAAAGCTCTTAGCGCAAATATGGGAGCTCTTGGTGCAAACGCTGTTACCCAAGGAGGCAGGGGAGAGTGGGTGCTTAATAAACGGGGCCCTGCTCATTTTTTCCAGTATTATTCTTACTGTGATCATCATCATGTCTATGCCAGACATTGTCCTTGGCTTAGGATTTTATCCCCGTTTAGGGGTCCTAAGGAGGCATGTTATGATCTCAACATAGTTTCTTCAACACACAGCAACTGAAACCTGCAAGGTGCCAGGCCCTGCTTAACCAGGCTAAAGCCCTCGCCCTCCTACGGCTTATGTTTTTGTCGGGGGAGACAGACAAACAAGGGAAAGGCCTAAAATGTATAGTGCACTGGGAAAATGCTCTGCGGAGGATAAAGCATGGGAGAGGGAGTGTGCATTGGCCTGTGTGTTGGGGACGGAGGTTGCAACGTCTCAGCAGCCCATCTGTCCCGGCTTTCAAGCCAGAAACTCAGTGGTTCCTGACACCTGCTGTTTCTCTCTCACTTCCAGCCCTCAGGCAGGCCCTGCCCATTCTGCGGTCTAAATCTGCCCTCTCTCCTGCTTTGTCCAGGCTCTCTCCTCTTGGTCCCTGTACCAGCCTCCTTCCTCACCTTCCAGCTCATTTTACCTGTCATAGCTTCACTGTGTTTCCACTTACGAATCCTTCCCATCTTGGCTGAAATGGCCCTTCTCTGAACCCACAGAAGTCAGGTATCCTTGTTATAGTGTTGCAGCCCCCTCCCCAGTTTTTCCTTAGTAGCCCTCACCACACACAAGAAGTAGATATATGAATTATGTATTTGTATGATCCTTTGGTTCACATCTGTCTCCTCTGTCAGACTGTGCTGTGTGGACTGGGATCAGGTCTGTGTTGATCACCGCATAGTAGATCTTTTGCACATAGTAGGCCCTCTGCATGGATTTGTCAAGGGATTGGATGCAGCTCCTGTGCCAAGGAGCGTGGAGCGGGGACTGGGCTTCATTTAATAGTGTGATAAAAAAACAGCACCTACCACGTGTGAATGTTTCCCATGGGCTTCACACTCCTGATTTCACGGACCCTCCTAACCACGCCCAGAGGGCGGCATGACCCTCCCCCTTTGCAGATGAAGAAAAGAGGCTTTGATGGACAGAGTGCTCACTCTCAAGCCACAGAGTCAGGAATGTAACTGGGCTTCCCACTTCCAAAGCTTGTGCTATAAACCCTGGCCTGCATTTCCCATAGTGCACCCCCCCCCACCGGACATGCCCCTGGAGGATCTCAGTGGGTTTCTGTGGTCAGACAAGTGTGGGAAGCACTGGGTTACTCAGGTTTGCATTCCACAAGGCCCTCAGAGCACCCGAGTCCCAGTGGCCCTGTGCCCGCTGCCCCCTGACATGCCAGTGCTGGGATGAGATGGGGCCTGGCCACCTCCTGAGAACTCCTGGGTGGTTCCAGGCTCAGCCAGGCGTGAGAACTCCGCCAGTGCCCCGCATCCCTTCCACCCTGGAGCCCCATTGTCCAGGGGCATGTCATGGGAAACTGTTTTCTCTTGGTGCTCTTTCTTTCGCTCCCAGCCCCTCCTTTCTCTGTCCCTTCTCTTTGGTCCATCTGAACCACACTCGGGCCTCCAGTTTCTCAGGTGCTGGTGGTGTCTACCGGAACAGTCCTCCGACGGGGTGGGGAGGGAACTGAGGTGCTGGCGAGGAAGGGCCTTTCCCCAGCCACACAGCTGTGATCGGAGGCAAAAGCGAGGCTCAGGCTGCCAGCCCCAAACTCACCTGTGGCATCCGGTCTGCCCGTCAGCTGCAGAACTCTGTGAGGACCCAGATGGTGGCTCGTTCACCCCTGACCCCATGGCACAGTCATTCTTTTGTGGCCTCCTGTGTCCTGCCCGGTTGGTTGTGGCTGCGGATGGAATCTTCTGACTGGTTACAGGTAGAATGGAAGGGCCAGGAGGTCAAAGGGCCTTTGTTCCCAAAGCAGGAACAACTCAGCGAGGAGGCGGCTGAGGTTTCTCGACCTCAGAAGCCTTTAAAGATAAAGAGAGCCTGTGGGCAGAGGCAGGAATTCCTGTGAAAGCAGGTCGTGAGCTGACCTGTACTACTGTGAGCGCTGGCCTGGCCAGCGGCCCAGGAGCAGCCCTGCTCCCCGGGCCTTTGGCCTCCCAGGCCCAGTGAGTGCCCCAGCCGGCCCCTTCTCTCTGCAGCGCCTGTGGTCTGTGTGGCAGCTATCAGTTCCGGGTCCCCACCTGCAGAACCAGCTGGGCCCCAGGTTCCTGGCAGTGCCCTGCTGGGAGCGCAGCGCATCTGAGATGGGGGCACAGCTGCGGGGTCTCGGAGTGCCTGCTGGGGAACTGGGGCTCTGACCTGGGGGCCTGGGACCTGTAGGGGGCTTACACTGAGGTGTGCTGGGCTCAAGCTTGTCCCCTCTCCCAGTGGTATTTATTTTTAGGGAGGGGAAGGAAGGGAGAAAGAGAGGAAAAGAAGATTAACATGTGGTTGCCTCTCATGCACCCCTCACTGGGGACCTGGCCTGCAGCCCAGGCATGTGCCCTGACTGGGAATCAAACCTGTGACCCTTTGGTTCACAGGCTAACACTCAATCCACTGAGCTACACCAGCCAGTGCTCCCACTGTGTGTGTGTGTGTGTGTGTGTGTGTGTGTGTGTGTGTGTGTGTGTTTTAAAGACAGGAACGTGAGCCCTCACTGGGTAATGCAGTTGTTTGGAGTGTCCCGTAGACCCAAGGCACATGGCCCCAGCCCGACTCCCGTCTGCTTCATTCTGGAAGGTCTGGCTGTCCTCCCAGGGAAGTGGTCAGGCTGGGACAGGACAGGACAGGACAGGACAGGACGGGGGTTTGGTTTGCTGTCTTCCTTTCGTGCTTCTCGGAACCTTGGTCCTGCGCACAGTGAGCTCCACCAGCGTGCTCCCCGCCCCTCCCCTTGGATCATTCCTTTTCCCGCCTAGTCCCCCACGTGTCTTCCTCTTCCAGGGCTCAGAGGAATCTGAATCCCTCCCACGCGTCTCACAGCCTTTCTCTCATTTTTCCTACCTCCGTTTTTTTCTGGACAATCTGGGAGGCTTTACGTACCTTGCAGATTTGTCTCTTTTTCAACTCCCTTGTTAACACATTTCTCTGGGCGCCACCGTTCTCATTTTGGAGAACTCCCCTTTGTCTGACTGTCCCTTCTGCCTCGCTGGCTGCCGTGGTGTTACGACAACAGCGAGCCCATGAGGCTGCTCCGAGGGCTCCCCGTCTGGTCCTGATCATCCGGTTTCCTCTCGGGGGCTGTTGTGTGAACTTGCCCGCGCGGGCGGGCGTGGGAGCGCAGGCGCCCCTGGTTCTGGGTGGGTTCCAGAGGGTTCCCCGAAATGGAGAGCCTGGGCACAACGATCACCCCCCTACGGCGGAACCTCACGCCGAGTCCTGAGTCCCAGACAGGTTGTGACAAAGGCTGGTGAATAGGCTTCCGCTTCCTTCCTCCTCCGCCCTCTCTTCCTCAGTCGCCTGCTCCTGCTCATCCTCGGCCCTTCCCTCCCCACTGTCTTCCCCCCTTCCTTTCTCATTCTTCGCCAGATTCCCCCACGCCCAGTCTTTTCAGCTCTGCAGACACTTAATTGGTCCCTGTGGGGGTGGGGGGTCAGCAGGAACAACAGCCGGGGAGAGAGCTGTCACAACACCACTGCCAGGTGGGGACAGCAGTCGGCCCCATTTCACTGGGGAAACAGGCCCGGGGCTGCCGGTCCAGTGAGTGGCGGAGCCAGAATTCAATCCCAGGCCCGTCTGGAGCTCACGGAAGGGAAACAAACTGCGGAAACCTTTCTAAACCTACCCCCCAGCCTGGCTGAGGACCTTGCTGACTCTCGGGCCGTCCCCTGTCTGGGCTGCTGTGCTGAGTGGGTCTGAGGTACCTTCCCACCCACTCCCTCCCGTGCTCCACTGTCCCTGCAGACTCAGGGCAGACACGGGGCAGCCGCCCTGCAGGGAGCCCGTCCCGTGATTGCAGTTCTCTCGTGCTCCCCGAGAGGGCGCCAGGTCCATCTGGGCAGGGACTGTGTCATCCTCCATCTGTCCTGCAGCGGGACCACTCAGGCAGCATTTGTGACACAGGGGAAAACAGACACGCCACACCCTGGGCTGCAGGGGGCCGCCTCCCCTCCCCCCCACCTCCCGTCACTGTCCCCGCTGTGAACAGTGGCCTAAGCTCTATTCTCCCTGCTTTTTCCTGCCTCCTGGCCTCTGCATGCACCCTCAAAACCCGGAGTCCTGGGTTCCCCCTGTCACATTGGAAGCCCTCGGGCTGCGTGGCACCGGCCCCTGCCTCCTCCAGCAGCTCCCATCTAGAAGGGCGGTGACGCAGGGTCCGGCAGCGTTATGCTGCGGAGGTGCATCACCCAGAACAGAGCGCCTCCTTCTTGGGGCTGTCCTGCAGCCAGGGCCCCGCCCCCGGGGGCTGACCGGCACAGGGCCCGTGACTGGCCATGGTGGTAACGCCCCCAGAGCCCAACTTGGAGCGCCCAGTACACCCAGTCCTTTAATCCCCAAGGGCCCTGGAGAGGGGTCCCGTCAGCCCTGTTCTCTTTACACATGAGGAAACTGAGGCACGGGGCGGTTAGCCGCTGCCCAGACCCACAGCCAGTTGGGGTCGGGGCTGACCCTCACTGGGCACCTGTCCCCCTCGGCGTCCCTCACAGGCCCAGCTCATCTCCCACTGTCACCGGGCCCCGCCCCCTGCCCCACAGCCCTCTCTTGGGTGGCTGTCCTTCGGGGCTTGAGGAGAGCCCCAAAGGTGGTCCAGGGAGCACGCCCCTGTTCCCGGTTCACGGAGGTGGAGCACAGAGCGGTGGGCGAGGGCCAGCATGTCTGGCTCGGAAATTCGGGTGACCTCTGCTCAGGTCTCCCCACCAGGCAGGCCTCGGCCTTAGCCACCACCGGAGAACCAGGACAGCTGTGGTGGCCCGGCCACCCACCCACCTGGCCATGTAGGCTCGGGAGACAGACCTGCCCCGGTTTGAAAGACCTGAAGCCGAGAGTGCCCGGGACAAGACCCCCCCTCGCCCTTCTGAGCCCGTTGTCAGGTGTGAAATACAGCCCACCTCACGGGGTGGAGGGTCCGGCAGAAGTATGGGTGCGACCACTCACGGTTTTAATTCGAACATTTCACCTGCCATGTCACGTGGTGTGCTCGAGTGTGACATTGTTAGGTTACAAAATCACACACGATTTTGTAATAAAAGGGGCGTGACTGGTGCGGGGCGCTCTGCAAAGAACCCCCAGGTGGTGCGCGTGTGGGCCACGCCCTCAGCTCTGTGGGCGTCTGTTTCTTAAGTGCCTCCCTCCCAAGTGCCAAGGCCTGTGTGGGCTGCTGAGGGTTGGCCTGGGGCCCCACCCTTGCAGAGCTGCGTCCCCACTCAAGGACAGTGCAGTGTGGCGGCACTGGGATTGCAGACTGCCCTGGGGGGGGCGGTGATAAGGGAAGCCTGCGGGAGTCGGGCGGAGGGATGGCTGGGTCCCAGGAGGCTGCGAAGGAGGCCCCGACATCATCTCAGGGTGGGTCTCGGCCCGTTGGGCATACAGCGGGCTCCGTGGTCATTCCCAAGGGAAGGTGCTGGCAAGGAGTTGCAGGGGCTCAGGCCTGGGACTGCAGCCTCCTGAGAGGGGCCAGGGCCTCCTTTCCCGGGTTCCACTCTCCACCTGGGCTCTGCCCCCGAGCTCGGGGTCATGGGCTGCCCTGGTATTTCTGATGCCCCAACCTGGACCTCCCTCTGCAGAGGAAAAGGGGCCACATACAACACCTGAGAAGCTCAGGGGAGGCCTACGTGTTGGCCTTAGAGACTCAGACACCTGAAGTGACCGCACAGGAGGGTCTGAACACAAGTGTTCGCAGTAGGAAGCCGGTCACAGAGAATAGTGACGCGCTCCGGGCCTGCAGAGGCCTGGACAAGGGGCGGTCTTTATCTCTCTCAGGGTAACCTGATGTTTTCCACAGTCCTGGGCCCCTCGGGGCAGGCCCAGAACCCCTCCCTGCCCCCTTGTCGCCCAGACAGCACCTGTGTGCTGTGTTGATCGCTAACCATCCTGTGCCCGCCAGTGTGAGAAGTATGAGTCTCTGTTTGACTTTTCATCCCATCTCGGAGATTTCACTCCCCCCCCCCCTTGTGCCTCCTCCTTTGATTCTAACGTGTGAGAGGAGCCCCTAAAACTCCAGAGCCTTCTCTCAACCCCCTGAGACTTTGCTTCCCAGCAGTGGTCGACAGTTTGGCTCATAAACTGAAAAAGCCTTGGCGGGCTGGGGTGCCTCCCCCACCCTCTGCGGCTCACCCGGATGCAGGTTGGGAGACTTCGCCCCTCCAGCCGCCCCCGCCCCCTCCCCCTCCCAGCGCCCGGCCTCTCCTGCTGTGGGGGCCAGGCCTGCCCTCTGGAGGGCCTTTCCCCAGCACCCAAGGGAGCAGCTCCCTCCACAGAGCCCCTCTGTGTCCTTCAGGCTTGGTGGCTGACACTTTAGGACCTGAGGGTGATCCTCGTGACCCTTACTGCTGACCCTGCTGGCCCAGGCCAAGCTGCCACAGGGGCCCTTGACAGGTCACCTTGACTCCCGGGTGTCAGGAGCGCTGCCTCCCAGGGAGTTGTGCTCACAGTGAGCGGTGGGTGCTGTCAGGAGAGAGCTGGCACACGGGGGAGGCTGAGCGTGGGGAGTCCCTCGTTCTTCCTGGGGCAAGGGAGAACTGGCCCTGAGGGCTGATGCGCAGGCTGGGGCAGGGAGGTCCCCTTGCAGCCGCTGCACCGGGTGACTCCCACTGGAGGTGGCTGAGCACCCCAGCCTCTTCCCTGGCCTTCTAGGAACAGAAGATGAACCTGTTGGTGCTGGAGAGCATGGGCTTCCGTGTGGGCCAAGCCCTGGGCGAGCGGTGAGAGCCGGCCCCTCCTGGGCCTTCCCGCCCCAGCTGGACCCGAGGTGGGGGTGGCGTGGTTCCAGGCGGGAACCAGGCTGGCTTCCCCTCCCCACCCTGGCCTGGCCCGAGCCTCTGCCACTGCCCCCTAGGCTGCCCCAGGAGACGCTGGCCCTCAGGGAGGAGCTGGATGTCCTCAAGTTCCTGTGCAAAGACCTGTGGGTGGCCGTGTTCCAAAAGCAGATGGACAGTCTCCGCACCAACCACCAGGTGTGCTCCCCGCCCAGCGGCCGGCTTCCGGCTGTGGATGGAGCTCCCGAAGGGGCCCTGACCAGGTTTACCCCTTGGGGAGGTTGCAAGAGGGCATTGAAGCTACTTCCAGGGTTTCCATGAGACAACCCCCCCCCCCCCCCGCCCGTGCCGGCAGAAGGCCTGATGGCTGGCAGTCTCTCACCTCTGTGACACCACCTGTCCCCACCTGGTCCCATTAGGTGTCTGCGCTGTGTCGGCCCCGACAGCCTGCCGCTTCCCCCCACAACCTGGGGGGCAGGAATTGGTCTCCCTTTTACCCCAGAAGTCACCCAGCCAGAGAGAGGGGCGGGACCAGCACCCCTCTGGGTGACTCTGGGTCCGGGAAGCCCAAGGGCCCTTCAGCTCTGGAGGACGGGCCCTGACTGCCCTGGTTTTGGGGGGCGGATCCTTCTAGACATCCCGGCGTCCCCTCCCCCCAACTGCAAATGCACAGGCCCTGCCCCAGTACCCACAGGCTCTCCTGTCCGCAGGGGACCTACGTGCTACAGGACAACAGCTTCCCCCTGCTCGTCCGGATGGCCTCGGGCCTGCAGTACGTGGAGGAAGCACCCAAGGTAGGGGGTGCTGGGACACACCCACGCCTCACTTCCCCTGCTCCCCCAGACCAAGGGGCGGACCCCACTGTGAGGCACGAAGCCCCTCGAGGCCCTGGGCCTGGGGTCGGCCTCCTCTCTTCCCCACAGTGACCTCTGCCGCCCGCCCCCAGTTCCTGCCCTTCACCTGCGGCCTCCTCCGCGGCACCCTCAGCACGCTGGGCATCAAGAGCCTGGTCACCGCCTCCGTGGCAGCCCTGCCAGCCTGTGAGTCGTGGGCATGGGGGGGGACCCCCTGCCTTCCCCCTGTGTGGACAGAAGAGGGTCCCCTGTCCCTATTCTGTGGGCCGGGCCACTGAACCCCAGTTTTCAGGTTGGGAATTTGAGTCCCCGAGAGCTTAAGTCACGTGTCAGGCCACACAGCGGGCACAGCCCACCCATGCCCTTGGCCCCTGAGCTCCCCCAGCCTGCTTCCCGGCGTGTGCCAGACCGGAAGAGGGAACCCTCTGTGAAGCCCCAGTCCAGTGGTCGTGAGCACTCTTCCCAGCACGGGAACCCAGGAAGTGGGGGCTCCAAAGGCAGCCGGATCCCATGGGACCCACGGCCTGTGTGGGGGGCTGCGCTGACCCCCCAGGGCCCTGCACCGGCCAGGCTGCAGCGCCTGCACCCAGCCCCAAGTCCTCCCTCCCGCAGGCCCTGGGGCCCCCAGGCCCACGTGCTGAGGGCCTGAGCAACACCTGCCACAGAAGCCTGAGCCAGGCCCTCCCCTGCGGGTGTGGCCTCTGGGCCCCAGTCACACGGGGCCCTGGGACACAGGCCAGGTGGGCGGGAGCACCGCCCAGTCTGCCGGTGCAGGGCCTGAGCAGTCCAGGGGCTTCCTGCCTCCCCTCAGATCCCAGCCCCGGGTGCTAAACCTGGCCCTTCTCTTCCAGGCAGGTTCCAGGTGGTGGTGCAGAGATCCTGAGGGGCCCGGGCCCCGGCCCCTGGTCCGCAGCCCCCGCCCAGTCTCACCCAGGGCTGCCGGGGAACTCCCGGCCCTGGGATGGCGAGCAAGACAGGCGGTCCAGCCACTTGGGGTGTCACATGTGCTCAACCGATGGGCGTCAGAGGGGGAGGTGGGGGCGTCCGGGGCAGGGTGGTCCCAGCCGCCCTCGGGCCTGGTGTGGAGAGATCCGCATCGGGCACGCCACTGACTCCGCAGCACAGAAGCTCAATAAAGGTTCTGTCTTTATCGGAGACGCGTTCACAGTGGCAGATGGCATCTGCAAAGTGACTGTCACTCGGCCTGCAGGGGTGGGGGCCAAGCAGCCCTCATCGCCCCCCTTTCTGGGCTCCCCTTTGCCCCCATCCTGGCAACCCCACTGGGGTCAGCATGTGTGGGGCTTCCCTCGGCCCAGTGGGGCCCACAGGACAGACCTCCCCCTGCCACCTGACCGAGGAGGAAGGCCAGGGGTGTCCGGAGTGGGCCAGAGACCCTCATTACACACACACACACTCCACGTGCCTGGCAAACCAAAGGCACACAAAAGACGCCGGGCCCTGCCCCCCTGCGCTGCCTCCCTCCCTGATATTTGGAACATCTGCCTTATCACACACCTGGATCACCCGGGCTCTGATTCCTGCTGCCTAATGTGGACGAGATCCGCCTGTCACGATGAAGGGTCCCCTTGTTTAAAACATCCCTGGAGCGCGGGGGGGGGGGGGGGGGCCTCTGCCCGTGCAGAGTCAGGGCAGGCGTGCCACCAGGCCCCGCCTCGGCCCACACGCCAAGCGCCGCATTCCCTGGCCTGCCTCCACGCCTTTGCACACGCTGGGCTGCCCCGCCCTCCGGCGCAGCGCTGGCCAGGACCCCCCCCAGGGAACCACAATTACTCAGCTGAACCATGGGGGGGGGGCAGAGAGGTGACTGGCCCAGGCCGGCCTCTGAGAAGCTTAGGGGTTCACCCTGGAGCGCCCCCAGACACAGACCCACCCCTATTGGCACAGCGTGCAGAATTGGAAGACAGAAAGGGACAGCCAGGCTCAGGAGGAGGGCAGGGTCGGTGTCTAGTCGCCCCCTGGGGGGCCGCCCTGCAAGGCAGGCAGGTTTCCTTCTCTATCCCGAACCCCGTTGTCCTGGGCGCTGTTCCGTGGTTGCCCCCCCCCCCAACAGGTCCCCAGGGTCCCTGGCAGCCACTGTTTGGTAGTACAGGGAGCAGGAGCCCGGAGGGCACCGTGGTACCAGGCCCTCACCTCTGGAGGAGTATCTTCAGGGGACCCCCCCCACACACCTACCAGCAGGCAGGAGGCAGAGCCCTGGCACACGCCACTGAGCCTCCCTCACCATGTGACCCCGCAAGGGACTTAACCACAAAGGGAGCACCCCGGCCCCTGCCAGGCGTGGCGAGCAGGAATGGGGCGAGTGTGGGGAAGCATGCACGCCGCGTGGGGCCCCCCAAAAACCTCCACGGCGTGTGTCGTCCTCGTCGCTGTCATTACAGGAGAGGCATTTAAAGCAGCCCGGAAAGTGGGTCAGTCAGTCCCCAGCATGTTCGCTGCTGTCATTACTATCTGTCCCACTCTGCTCTGGGGACTCCTCCCAAAAGCCACCGGAGGTAGGCGCCAATGCCAGCCCACTCAGCAATGAGGAAGCCGAGGCTCAGAGAGGTGAAGTCACTCGCCCAAGATCACACAGCTGGACCCCGGAGGAACTGGCATCGCAATCCAGGGTTGCATCTCGGCTTGGCCCTGGCTCGGTCCCTGCCCCGGCTTCCTCCCGCCCCACGACGGGAATGCCCAGGGCTGGCCCCACACAGGCAGCACCGTGGCCGGCCACCTCCGTCCCTGACCTCAGGTACTGCCCCCACGGTCCTCGAGAGCAGAGAGCACCGGACGGGGCTGGCAAGCTGGGGGAAGGGGCGGGGGGACTGGGCGGGCAAACCGGTCGGGCCGCTCCGTTCCCACCTCCCGGCCTCTCACCAGTTGGGCGGCCGGGCTGGCGCGGCGCTCGGTGTCCCGGCAGGGAGCTGCCATCAGGTACGGGGGACCCCAGGTCGGGGGGACAGCGGGCAGGGGCCACGTGCCTGGCCCCCGACCCTCCTCGAGCCCCAATTTTCACCCCAATTTCCTCCGCCCACCCCCCCGAACAGCATCCCTCCCTCACTTCTGCTCTCGGTGCCTCGCATTTGAAAGCCAGGCCACCCACCTCTCCCCGAGGTTGCTGAGCCTCTGGCCCATGGAGCCTCCCGCTTGGGTTTGCTCCCCCTCCAGCCCCTCGCTCAGCCTCAGGTGGACCCAGCCCCGGGGTTCAGCCATTCCACGCTCCCGCCCCGCCCCTCTCCGCGCACCGGGTCCTTGTCCTTCAGCTGGCGCCGGCCCCCGCCTCCCACGGCGCGGACCCCCACGCCCACTTCTCCCCTAGTTCTTCCCAGCCCCCGCCAGCTCCCAAGGTTGCCCAGCCTACATCTATCTGCTCAGCACCCTCCGGAGTCCTGGCCTCTCGGGGATGCCCCGGGGCCTCCCAAACACCCCGTCGCCGACCCTTGGAAATCTCACCCACCCCAAATCAGCCCCCGCCCCCAACCCCCCATCGTCCTCCTCCGTCTGGCGATCCCTCCCCCAGTCTCTGCCCCTCCACCCGGTGACCTGGGCGACCTGGGACCCAGCGTCTGGGGGGGTCTCTCACCTGTCCTAGGTCACAGGCGGCTGTCCCGGAAGCGGGCTCTTGCTGCCCGCGCCCAAAGGGGCCGGTCACTTCGCGCGTCCTCCCGGCCCCGGAGCAGGCCCCCGGCCGCCATGCATCAGCACTGTACTGTCCACTCGGCCAAGGGCATGCTGCCCCCCCGGGGCTGCCCGGAGAGCTACTTCTTGGACCCGGAGTTGGGGCACAATAAAGGTAGGCCTTCAGTTTGGAGGGGGGGGTCCTGACAGGGAGGAGGGGGGCTGCCGAGTGGACGGTGGAGTGGGAGAAGCCGGGGCCCCAGAAGAGAAGTTGCCTCCGTTCCCCTGTGGAGGCTCCTGCAGACGCGGTGGTGGTGGGGGCGGGGGGACCACAGCCCTGGGGGGGCGGAGCTGGGAGCCCGCGCTGGGGAGGTCGGCAAAGCAGGCCCTCCTGGTCGGCCCCTTCCCCCAGCGTGGGAAGAATTCTCACTCCCCAAATCACCAGGCCCGTGGGGACCACCGAGAGGGGCCGTGTGGTGGGAGGGAGAGAGAGAAAAGCGACCTCCTCCGGACTGAATGTGAATGAGGCGGGGACCAGTTTCCTGGGGTGACCTAGCCCCCTTTTTAGGGCAGCCCCCTTGTCGCCAGCCTGGCTGGAGCTTGGGTGCCAGGCTCCCACCCCGCCCCCGCCCCGCCTCCCCCGTCCCTGTCCTGTCCCCTCTCTCCCATCACTCTGGCCTCCTCTGGACCAACCCCGGGCCAGCTCCGCGTGGCTCCCTGTCACCCCACAGGGGGACCCTTGGGGACCAAGAAGTGTGGGGCGGCAGGGGCTCTGGAGTTCAGCCCCTCGTCCAACCAAAGCCCTGGCCCCTTGCACGCCCTCTGCCCCCAACCCTCGGGGACACAGGGGCCACACCCCCTCATTGTCCCTAGGATGTCTCCTGGGCCTTGGCTGAAAATCGGCGCCCTCTGGATCCCAAGACCCCGCCTGGTTCCTGCCAGTGGCCCCAGGGGTCAGGGCCCAGTCACCCCCACTTCCTTCCTTCCAGGACGCTGTCACCAGTGGTGCCATGACCCAGCGGCCTACAGGCCCTGTCCGCAGCCCTCCCAGGTGCGGTCGCAGCTGGCCTACCACAGCCAGCAGGGGGTTGTCCGGGGCTGTCGCCGGGGCCCCCAGCCCCCTCTCCTGCAGCAGCAGCAGCAGCAGCAGCAGCAACGGCAGCGGCGGCAACAGTGGCAGCCCCAGCCCCCAGCCCCCAGCCCCCTGCGGCAGCGTCTCTGCCCCGGCCCCAGCGCCCAGAAGGGAGCGCCCGCGGCCGCCACTGCCTCCCTGGGACCGGCCTGCGCCCCCCAGCCGTCCACTGCACCCTCCTCGGCTCCCGCCACAACCAGCAGCTGCCCAGCCCTGCCCTCCAAGACTGGCACCGTCCCGCAGCCCGGCAGGCCCACGGGCGCCCCGTCCCTGCCGGTCCCAGGGGCAGCCTGCGGCCCCTTCACCTCCTACAGCTCCGGTGCTCACCCCGCCCGCCCAGGGGCTCTGTCCCTGCTGCCTCGCTTTCCGCTTTCGGCCTGGGCCTGGGGCCTGCCCCACCCCCTCCCTCTGGTCCCTGTCTGCGAGGGCGCTCATCCCTGACCCTGGGCCTCCAGCAGCCACTCTGCTTCACCTGTTGGGATCCGAGGCTTCCAGGCCGGGCCTGTCCATGGTGCCTCCATCTTGGGCTGGCCAGGTGCCGGGCCGATTCCCTGGCTGACTCCCTTGCTCTGCTTTGTGTCTCCCTGGCCCTCCCTGCCTGGCCCAACAGGCCAGAGAGGGCGTAGGGCAGGGCTGAGGAGCTTGCTGGCCGGCTCTGGTGTGGGGTGGACGGTCACGCGAGCAGCTGCAGCAGGAGGTTGGGGTGGGGGGGACGGAGGAGAGAGCCTTGCAGCGATGGGAGGGCGCCAGCCGTGCGTTATTGATTCATTGATTCATTCGCTGACTAGGTATTAAGCCCCGAGAGGGTGCCAGGCCCTGCCATGTGGGGACCGGGGGGCGCACAGGGAGTGGGCAGACGGACTGCTGCCCCCTCAGAGCTCAGCAGCACAGGCGGTGGGGGAGGTGCGCACGGGAGACAGTTGGGGGGAAACACAGCAGAGAGAGCAGAGGGGGAGCCTGGGGCCTCTTTGGGGTGACATTTGAGCAAAGACAGGGCAGGCCCCTTGAGTAAGTGGCCTCAGGGTCAGCAAGTGCAGACTCCGGGGGTCGCAGCGAGGGGAGATGGCGGATGGCTCAGAGTGGACGGGGCGGGAGCCAACTGAGGATGTAGCAGGAGAGGGGACCGTGGGCGGTGAGGGCGGACACAGGTGTCCAGGCCAGAGGTGCCGGTGGCCGGGCCTGGGACGGAGGAGGTGGCAGGCAGCTGGTTGCCGGCTCTGGTTAGAAAACAGGGCAAGGGCTGAGCGGGGACTGGGCTGCAGGTCAGGAGCAGCCGTGTGTCATGGAGTCTCTGGGGCACAATGTTCAACCACACGGACGAGGGGGGGTTGAGTGAGGGGAGGTCACCCAGCGTGGGGTCAAGGGTGGGAGCGGGTCCAACCCAGCTGACCCCTCGGCCACCCTTGTCGCAGGCCCCCCTCGGACCCTCCCTGCTGAGCCTCCAGGCCCAGGCCGGGCCCTTGGCAAGGGAAGGGCCCTGCAGCCCACCGACCTCTCTGAAAGATGGGACCTACGACTCCCCCCAAAAAACAACAGGACAGAGTCCTGCCTTTCTGGCACCCAACTCCAGGTGCTTGCGTGTGGTGCCAGGACATAACCCCAAATCTGTGCCCGAAATGGCCGTTCTGGACCACGGCAGGACAGAGGGCCCCCCCCCCCAGCCGGGTCCTTTGGTTCCCCCTCCCCCAGTGTCTCTGCCGCCCCACTCCCAGTGGCTGCGCTTTGCCCGAGTCCTGCAGAGCAGGGTTGACAGGGTGGGGACCACAGGGCAGGTTTGCTGGGCGCAGGGCATGGGGTCAAGGGGAGGAAGAGAGGTCAGGGTCAGGGCGGACAAGAATACTGAGCGGAATCTGGTCACGGCAGCCCTGTCCACGCGGAAGCCAGGCTAACAGAGTGGGCAGGAGCTGACACTCAGACAGTGGGAAGCACAGCTGCATGCATCCAAGGGCCTCAAGTCGCAAGAAAGGGTCACGGGATTTTTCTCAGGGGGACACTGGGCTGGTGGCTGGTGACTGAAGACCAGGACGGCCAAGTTGTCACAGATCTGTGGGCCAGGGCCGGGGGAGTCCAGCTTCCCGGCCTTCGCCTGGTGACTTTGGGGTCAGCTCATCCCGGGCAGCCCAGCGGGACGCACCTGGCCCTGCCTGTGGCCACAGAAACCTCCGTCCCCCGAGGTCTGGTCTGACTCACCTCCGGGAGGGGGCCGCTGCTGCTGAAGGGAGGGGCTGAGAGCGGGTGCTCTGGACGGCGGGGCGTGGGGTGGGAGGAGGGTGGTGCTGGGCCAGCCTCGTTGACTCAGTTTCTCCACCTCTGCCCCCTCCTCAACCCCGGTCCCCAGACATCCTGACAGAGGATGATGTTTACTGCAGCTGCCTTGCCAAGACCCTCTGCCACGTGCCTGTGCCTGTGACCGTGGGTTTCTACGCCCCCTTTGGCTGCCGCCTGCACCTGATGCTGGACAAGATCACTGGTGAGTGGCAGCATGGAGCCTCCAGCCCCTGCTGCCCGGCCCCAGGCTTCCCCGAGATCCACTGGCACCTGAGCTCAGCCCACCCCAGTCCAGATGCCCGTCACTCAGCTCTAGGCAGGTGCTTCCGCATCATGCCCACAGCCTGTGCCCCCAGGTCCCTGCTCCAGTTCCCGCTCTGGGCTCCTGGCCTCTGGTCTCACCTCCCTCTGCCAAACACTCCCCAAGGAATCTTTCTAGAATGTGTGTCTATCCCTGTCATTCTCCTGCTCAAAAGCTTCCCGTGGCTCCCCAGCACCCTGGGGAGGAAGGCTGACCTCTTCAGAGGCTGTAGGATCCTGCTCCTGTCCCCGGCCCCAGACCCATCCCTTCCCCTCAGCTCTGGCCCAGGGCTTGGCGCCCACACCAGCCCTGCAGACAGGTGTTACCTGAAGACCTGGGCCGAAACCTGGTCAGGGCCCGAGACGGCGGGACCTGCTTTCAAACTCTGCTGGTGCTCAGCCCCCAGCCCCAGCTGCAGCCAGGAGGGTGGAGGTGACTCACCTCCGAGTGCCCAGGCCCAGTGAGCGCCTGCTAAACAAGCCCACGCCTGCCCCGTGTTGTCCCACAGTCACACACAGGGGCCTGGGAGGAGAAGAGATCTGGCCCTAAGGAAAGAGAGATGGCGAATGGAGTGCCTACTCTGTGCTAAGTGACTCTGCACATTCCCATTCATTCATTCATTCATTCACTCACTCACTAACCTCATTGTAGGCAGATCCCGCCCCCAGCCTCTCATGATCCAGGCTTCAAACATTCCCCCGGCACCTCCTTGGTGACCGAGACAACCAGGGCCCTGTCCTTCAAGGGCTCACAGTTCAGAGAGGGAGACACACCTGTCCCCAGTCACAATTTAGAGTGGGTGAGAAGATGGGGAGAGAGGGTGTGGGGAGAGCCGTGGGATGCCTAATCCAGCTGGGGAATCAGAGAGGGCTCCCTGGAGGAGGAGACAGCTAAGCTGAGAGCTGCAGGAGGAGGAGGAGTAAGCCAGGAAACTCAGATGAAGGCTGTACCCTTGCTGCCCAACATTTGTCTTCCTCAGAACCTCGTCTCTATTCTTTCACCCCCTGGAGCCTTCCCTGCCCTTTCGCTTCCTTTTCCTCTGGGGGCTCTCCTTCTGTACACCCCTGACCCTCAACCTTCACCCTCAGACCTTCCCGGGTCTAAGCCTGGCTTCAGGCCTTTCCTTCCGCACTTTACGCACCTGCCCCAGCTGTTTCCCTCCCACCCAAACTACCAGGACCCGCCCCTGCCCGAGCCCCGCCCCCAGGCCGGAGGAGCCCAGGTCGGAGCTCCGTCCCGAGCCAGAGCCCCGCCCCCAGGCCGGAGGAGCCCAGGTCGGAGCTCCGCCCCGAGCCCGAGCCCCGCCCCCATACCGGAAGAGCCCAGGTCGGAGCTCCGCCCCGAGCCCGAGCCCCGCCCCCAGGGCGGAGGAGCCCAGGTCGGAGCTCCGCCCCGAGCCCGAGCCCCGCCCCCAGACCGGAGGAGCCCAGGTCGGAGCTCCGCCCCGAGCCCGAGCCCCGCCCCCAGACCGGAGGAGCCCAGGTCGGAGCTCCGCCCCGAGCCCGAGCCCCGCCCCCAGGCCGGAGGAGCCCAGGTCGGAGCTCCGCCCCGAGCCCGAGCCCCGCCCCCAGGCCGGAGGAGCCCAGGTCGGAGCTCCGCCCCGAGCCCGAGCCCCGCCCGGGTGGTCCCTCACCAACGCCGGCGCCCTCCGTCCCCACAGCGCTGATGGAGCAGGAGGCCGCGCAGCGCGAGGCAGAGGAGCTGCAGCGTGTGCAGTGGCGGCCGCGGTCCGTGAGCCGCTGGGGCTTCCCGCAGCTGCTGTGGTACCTGGTGTTCATGCAGCCGATCATCACTGAGGTGCACCTGCGGCGCAAGAATGTGAAATTCCTCTTCATCCGCTTCAGCGCCTGGGAGTACGAGGGCTCGGACAAGCTGTGGGCCGGCCTGGTGACCACGCTGTGTGAGGGCATCCGCCACCACTACGGCCCACTGCCCTTCAGCGTGTACTCGGTGCTGGGCAACAAGGCGATGACGTCGAAGGGCTTCCGCCAGCGCGAGTGGCACTGCCGGCGCCGCGTGTGCCTGGCGCTGGTGGCCCTGCTGGTGGCGCTGGGCTTTGGCGTGGCCCTGCTCTACCTGTCGCTGGGCGCCCACGCGCTGAGCCACAGCAGCACTGACAACCACGTGCTGCGGGTGTTCGGCGGCGCAGCCACCACGCTGTCAGGCTCGGGCCTGCTCATGGCCGTGTACTCGGTGGGCAAGCACCTGTTCGTGAGCCAGCGCAAAAAGATCGAGCAGCTCGTGTCGCAGGAGAAGTTCGGCAGCCAGCTGGGATTCATGGGCGAGGTGAAGAGGGAGGTGGAGCTGGTCACCAACTTCCTGTGCTTCATGGAGATCTACCAGCGGTGCCGCCTGCGCATCGTGCTCGAGATCACGGGGCTGGACACGTGCCGCTCGGAGAACGTGGTGGGCGTGCTCAACGCAATCAACACCCTGTTGTCCGACAGCCACGCGCCCTTCATCTCCATCCTGGTGGTGGACCCCAGCATCATGGCCGCGTGCCTCGAGTGCGCTGGCTGCATGAAGGGCACGGCGGACAACGGCTACCTCTTCCTCAACCGCACCGTCACGCTGCCCTTCTCCGTGCCCATCATGGGCCGCCGCACCAAACTGCAGTTCCTGCACGACGCCGTGCAGAGCCGCGACGACCTGCTGTACCGCGAGATGGCGCACCAGCTGCGGCCGGGGAGCCCTGGCGCCGACGAGGGCTCTCAGCTGCTGGCGGTGGAGATGCAGGAGGGGGCCCGGCTGACGCAGAGCCACATAGACGCCGAGGCTGCGCGCCGCATCCGAGAGGCGCTCCTCTGCCTGCACGACGACCGGGACTGCCTCTACGAGTACGTGGCCGACAACTTGGTGTCCATGCGGCGCATCGTCAACACCGTGCCCATCACCGTGCGCCTGCTGCAGCAGCAGCAGCGGGACTTCGGCGGCCCCACGCCGCGCCAGGCTGTGGCCTGGGTCGTGCTCGCCAACCAGTGGCCCTGCCGCCTCAGCTGGGCGCTGCAGTGTCTAGAGGACCGGCAGCAGGCCGGGGGCGCCCCGGAGGCCCACGCACGCCTCTGGGACGTTTTCCGTGATAACTGCCAGGAGCTGCACACCATGACCAAGCCGTTGCACAACGTGCTCGATCTGGACGGCGACCCCGAGCTCTTTCAGCGCTTCCTGAGCGAGGACTTCCCCTTCTCTGTGGCTGAGGCACAGACCCTGCTGCGCTGTACGGTCAACCTGGACCACTCCATCCGCCGTCGTATGGGCCTCATCCGGGCTGTCAGCACGCTAAAGCCGCCCAGCCCGCCCAAATCCCCAGCGGGCGACGCTGCGCACGCAGCCAACCTTGCCTCCCGGGCTGACGGCGCCACTAATGGAGCTGACCGGAGCCCTGGGGCGGCCCGGTCAGGCCACTCTGCGGGGCGCAGCCCTGCGCAGACCAGCCCTTCCCGCAGCGAAAGCCCCCACTCCCGAGCCAACCACGCCTCCCAGGCTGCCCACGGGACCCACAGAGTGGACCAAAGCCCTGGGGCCAGTCGGCCAGGCCACTCTGCGGGTCACAATCCTGCGCGGGCCAGCGAAGCCCCCCCCTACACCTGCAGTGAAGTCCCCCACCCCCACAAGGAAGTCCCCCACCCCTGCAGCGAAAACCCCCACTCCCAAGACTTGACCCACCGGAGTAAGCCGAGACCAGTGGCTTGAGCGCTCTGTGCTTTAGGGAATCCAACCCAGGGGTGCCTTGGATGAAGGACTCTGGGGCCAGCAGGGGGGCAACAGCACCCCTTCTACCCAGGGGAGGACACTTGTAGGGGACAAGGCCCAGGGTCCAGTGTTGGGAACGAGGCTGGTGCTGGCTACATTACCCCGGTGAATCTGCGAGCTGGCAAGAGCTGTTGGCAGTAGCTGACAATGACACCAGTGTCAGAAAGAGGTGCCAAAGGACCACTAAGAAACTCAAGTTCAAGTGCAATAAACGAAGGTGTGAAAGCCTTTGATTGGTCTTTAGGCCCTGTTGTGCCAAGCCCATTTCCTGCCCAGGGAGTCAGCAGATTGGCTGGTGGCTGGTGTCCCCAGGGCAGGGGGGTGGGCAGCGGGGGTGTGGGCGAGGCCCCGGCAGGCAGACGATGGACGGATGTTTTGTGTTGCCTCGCGTTGACTGAGGTGCCTTGCAGTGCCCAGTCCTCAGGGGATCCAGGTCCTTGTCCCGGGTTCCTAACCCCACCCCTCGGTGGGCGGGGCAAGAGCTAGAGTTTTTGAGGGCGGTGTCTGAGGTGACCTCAGCAGGCTACTCCAGTTGCAGTGTGGCTCCGCCCCCTGGTGTAATTCATTAATTAGGCCTCCCTGGCATCTCAACCAGCTGGGCGGGAAGCACTGCCTCCCTCGATAAGTAACTGTCCAGGGGAGGCGGCCTTAGGGCCACTTGATGAGCCCCTTGGTGAGGTCAGGGACGCTGAGCAGAGCTGGGGGCACACATAGGTCATAGAGCCAGGGCGAAGGGAGGGCCATCCCAGGGCTGGACTCTGCCTGTCTGGCACCACCTTCCCCTCCCATTGGTCGGACAGAGACCTAGAATGAGTCGTCACCCCTTGGGGCAGCTTCCCGTCCACTCCTCATTGGTGACGTTGCCACAGGCTCCGGCCCGTGGTATGCCTGGGCGTCCAGGGTGTGAGGACCAACAGGGCATGACTGCTGAGCCAGGGCCCTGAGGCCCAGACTGAGCCCAAACTCTTTGAAGGCACCCACCGTCATGCCCTGCAGCCTGTTGGGGTGCTGACCTCATTCCTTAGCTTCAAGGTTGGGTGCGACCTCCCAGGGCCCCTGGCCAGGAACTGTTCCACGGTGTGCGCAGGGCGGAGCCGGCCCGCGACTGTGGCAGGAGATGCCAGGGCCGAGGTGCCGCTTTTCACTCCTGGCGCAGCCAAGCCTGCGGAGTAACCTGGACCTGCTGGGAGAGGTTCCCGACAGCAGGGGGAGCCCGCCCACCGATGAAGCCCCCTTGGAGGGGGGCACACAGGTGCCCGTGACACCGTAGCTTAGACTGGCAGGTGCCTGGCAAAGCTGGAGTTTTGGGAGACGGTGAAAACGCGAAACCAAACAGGGTGTCGGAGCGGCTGCATGCGCCCGAGCGGGCTCCCTGTGCGCCCGAGCGGGCTCCCTGTGCGCCCGAGCGGGCTCCCTGTGCGCCAGGACCCTCCATCCCCTGTGGACCTTTTGCTGGAATTTGCACCTGTGGGACTAGTCCTCACAGGCAAAAAGGGAGTGGAAGTGACGTGTGTCCCTTGCCCGCCGGGGCAACAAGTTGGGTGGCAGGTTTGCCTTCTCCACTCTCCTCCCCCATCTCCCTGCTGGATGCAGGGACCCTGAGGCCCTGGAGGGTAGCAGAGCTGCAGGAGGGAGGGGCCTGGGTTTGCGGGTCACTCTGGGGAAGAGCTGCCCAGCATTCCGAACACCCACGTGGTGGATATGGACGCCCGGGTCAGGGCACCGATGTCTTGGAGGTTGGATGCGAGGTCAGGCCCAGCACAGACTGTGTCTTCAGGAGCTACAGTGATGCAGGACTCCCCAAAGTCAGAACATCGGGAGCCCTGAAGACTTGGCCTGTCTCCTGGGGCTTTGTCACAAAGTCCCACAAACTGGCTGAGAACAGACACATAATCTGTCATAGTTGGTGCTGAAAGTGTGCCCTGTGCCTTTGGAGACCCGCAGGGGCACCCGCCCTGGCCCCTGCCGGCTTCCAGCACTTCCCCGGCCATCTGGCGGCCTTTGGCTTGCGGCTGCCATCACTCCAGCGGTCCACCTTCACACGGCCGTCCCTCTGTCTTCACGTCACCTTCCTGCCTTGCACATCTGTCTCTGTCCCCATTTCCTCCTCTTTAAAAAAATGTTATTTTTAGAGAAGGGAAGGGAGGGAGAAAGGCAGAGCAACATCAATGTGTGGTTGCCTCTTGCACGCCCCCTACTGGGGACCTGGCCTGCAACCCAGCCGTGTACCCTGACTGGGATTTAAACGGGAGACCCTTCGGTTCACAGGCTGGCGTTCGGTCCACTGAGCCACACCAGCCAGGGCCCCATTTCCCCCTTTTATAAGGACACCAATCACTGGATTAGAGCCTGCCCTGTCGCCTTGTTTTAACACAATGACCTCTGTAAAGGCCTGTTTCCAAAGGTCCCAGTCTGAGGTCCTGGGGGTTAGGACTTCACACTGTTTTGTGTGGGGGGAGGTGGGGACACAGTTCAACCCTGAATGGTTGGAAAGACCATGTTTCTCACTCTAAGCTACTCTCAGTGCACCAACAGAGGCAAGGCCAGGAACAGTCCTCAGAGACATCACACGGAGGACAGAGAAGCTGAGGTCCCCTGTCCCCCACCTGGCCCATTAGTCACCAGCCTGGAGGCAGTGGCAGGGGTCACAAAGGGGATGGGCGAGTCCCCACCGCGCTGTGAGAAGGGCCGAAAGCCCCTGAAGGAGTTGATTCTTGGGCGACAGCTGGAACTGACCACAGGTGGGTTGAGATAAGGTGGGGGTGGCATGGGCCGGTAGGGGGAGCACTGCACAGAGAGACCCAGCAAAGGGCTGTGGCTCCGCAGCCTGGAGGGCTCGTCCCACCCCCACCACACACGAGGCACAGGGGGCACTGGCTGGAGGATGATGCTGCCCAGCACTCAGGACCGGGACCCGGTTCTGTGGCCCCAGCTCCATGGGGTGATTTGGGCAGGTGCCAGGGGTTGGTGGCCGTGTCCATGGCTTCCTGGAGCCCTTCCCCCAAGTCAGGACACACACGTGGCTGCCAATGACTGAAGACACGCAGGCAGCCGGGGACCGATTCCTGAGTGTGAGCAGGAGCTGAGTGGCACAGGGGCTCCGTGTCCGTGGTGCCACGACCCCGTGGTCTTCCTGCCGCCTCCCCCTTCCCTCATCAGCCTCCCATGCAGGAGAGAAGGGCGGGTGCAGAGGTCTCTCCCCACCGTGGCCCTCTCACTTTCTGAAGAGGGCGCTCAAACTGCCCAGAGTGCCCCACCGTTTTCCGGCTGCACCCCCGGCACGTCTGGCACTCAGGGGCTCCAGCGGCGCTGGCTTGGGCCCCGGGGCACACCCCCGCCAGGACGGCCAGGGCCAGCGCCCGCGGGCTGACCGGGAAGGGAGTGACCAGGGAACCCGAGCACTGCATTGCCACCCTGGGAACCCAGATGAAGCTGGAGAACACTCAGGGCGCTTCCCTCTGAGGGAGGGGAGGACTGTGGCGTGTGAGAGCTGGGTTAGGTGCGTGTGTGGCCTTGGGCACAAGTGGCGGTTTCCAGAGTTCCTCGGGCACGTAGCCCAGCAGACACCAGAGCCCTCGGCCCGCCGTCCGTCCTCCCTCCCTGGGCCCAGAACCTGCCACCACCCCGTCCGCCCTGGGGTGGGCACGAGCGCAGAACAGGCAGACGGTGGACCCAGCTCTGGTTTATTAGAAAAGGTGTGAACAGAGTTGCACCGACAGGAGTGGCCCGTCCCCGCCCTCTGCCCGCCCTCACCCCACCTCCCCGGGCTGTAGTGCCTCTCAGGGGGCAGCTTCCAGTGGCCTGGACAGCAGGGTCTCCAGAGCCCTGGCTGCTCCCCACGCAGCTCCCTGATAGATTTATTGCACTTAAGAAGAAGAAAGCTCTGATTCTCTGCTCCCATCCCCCACCCGCACCGGCCCTCACCCTGTCTGGGGCTGCTCCACCAAGTTCAACCACCACCACCACCACCGCCGGCGCCACTGCCGCCGGGCACCGCCCCTCCCGTGCCACGCCTCCTGCCTCGTCTGTGCCCAGACCACGGGGCCGGGGGTGCCACACGGCCACCAAGGGCTCCACAGGGAAAGCTGGCCCAGTGCACCGCCCCCAAGAAAGCGCGCCCCTCCAGGAAAGTGGTGGTGGGGTGTCTTGGGGGCGGGGCCTCAGAGACTCCGCCCCCTCCCGTCCACTCTGGCCCAGAGTCTAGGGGCTGGACACACAGATACAAGTGCTGAAGTCAGGCTGGGGGGGGCCGCTCCTGGTAGCTCCTGCTCCCGTGTAGTGTAGCTGTGAGGGGTGGGGGTCCCCAGAAGGGGCCCCACCCCTGGGGCCCCAGGCCTCAGGAAGGCTGGGGGTGAGGGTGAGCAGATTCTCATGGCTCTGGCCTCCATTCAATTGAAGACCGACGGGGGAAAAAGGAACTTGGGAAGAGGACAGGAGTGCTGTCAGAGCCGGGGCCTGCACCGCCGCCCCCCGCCCCCTGGCCCCTGCCTCACCTAAAGTGTCACAGTGTCTCCTGCCCAGGTTCCTGACTGGCTTCCAGGAGCAGCTCCTCAAGCTCCTTCTCGTTCTTGGAGCAGCTCAGTTCTGCAGGTATCGGCAGGTGGGGGGCGGCCAGGGTGGGAGGGGCAGCGGGTGGCCCCAGTCAGGCAGGTGCAAAAGCAGCCGGGCCCCCAACCCCGGGGAGAGCTCCCAGGACCCAGGGGAGGCAGGGTGGGGACCGAGGGCCAAGTCCCACTTGTCCCTGTCCCTACAAGGCCACTTTAAAGAGAGAAAAGCTGAAGCCCACTCACGGGCAGGGGTCCCACCCAGCACCCGGGCCCGGGCCACCCGCCCCAGAGCGCCTCTCACCGTGCTCCAGGCCACAGCTGCCCGCCTTGGCCTCGGGCCCCGGGGGCGGCTCGGGGGGCAGTGCGAGGGCGAACTCCGGCTTCAGGCCGTTGGGCAGCGGTAACCCTGCCTGAGGCGGCTCTGGCTGTGGCTGAGGCTCAGATGACCCTGCATCCCGAGTGCTGATGGCCTCAGTTGGCGGTAGGGCAGGTGAGGTGGGTGGGGAGGGTAAGGCTGGTGGGGCAGGAGAACGAGTGGAAGAGGCCGGCACGGGGGGCTCTGCTCTCTCGGGTGGACTCTCCACCCGAGTCACCACAAACACCTTGTGGCCTCGGCCTGGGCTGGACACAGAAATACGCTGCTCAGCAGGGGGGGAAGGGCTGCCTGGGGGGCTCGGGTCCCCAGAGCCCGGGGAGTCCGTGGGGGGCCCCGGGGCGGGGCAGGGGGCCTCGGCCCTCTCCCCATCTTCCTCCTCCTCGTCCTCGTCGCCCTCTGAGTCGGAGTCAGAGTCGGAGTCCAGGCCAGGCCCCGGGGCTGGAGCCCCGTTCTCCTGCACCTCAGTGGCGGGCTCGTCGCCGGGCTCCTCGTCGGGCTGCGGCCCGGTGACCGTGATCTCTGGCATGGAGGCCGACAGCTGCAGCCGCTGCTCCTTCTCCTCCTGCTCCCGGGCCAGCACGAAGTTGCGCTTGCAGCCGTTCTGGATCTCGGCGAGCAGCGCCTTCTGCGTCTCGATGAAGCTCTTCACCTGTGGGCAGAGCGGGCCTGGCTAGGGCTCCGGGCGGTCCCTGTGGTGGGCCCTGCAGTCGGAGCCCCAGGCCGGCCCGCCCCCGCCTGCGGGACCCAGCGCAGGCCTGCTCACCGCCTCCTTCTTGGGCTCACGGTCCAGGTCCAGGCGCAGCAGGGAGTGGTTCACCTTGAGGGCCAACGACAGCGCCATGAGCCCGCCCGTCTTGATCTCGTTCTCCCGAAGGTCCAGTCTCAGGAGGCGGGGGCTCTCGGCGATGAACTCCGCCACTGCCACCGCGCCTGGGAGGGGGACCGCAGGGGCTGGCCACGAGCCCACGCCCGGCCGGCCGCCCGCCCAGCCCCCTTCGCCCGCCCTGCACCCTACCCTCGCAGGTGAGCTTGGTAGAGGCCAGGCCGAGGCGCAGCACGCTGCGGTTGCCGATGAGACCGTTTTTGAGGTTGCGCACGCCCTCGTTCCCGATGGGGTTGTGGCCCAGGTTCAGCGTCTCCAGGCTCTGTGTGTGCGGCTGCAGGGACAGCAGTGAGTGAGCAGAGGCCCCGGCCGCTCCTGCTTAGAGCTGAATCCCGCGTGGACCCAGAAGTCTCCCCGGGTGCCAGCTGACCTGTCCACTCCCCAGGCCCGGGCCTGCCCTCTGTTCCGGTCAGTAACCGGCAGACTGGGCTCAGGCCTGGTCCTGGGGAATCCTTCACACGGGTTTGAGCCTTTGTACCCAGTGGGCTTTAGATTCTGGGTAATAAGCAGACCGAACACTTTCTAAAGGCTTCCAGAAATGTTACCTTCTGGTGCAAAACATTTTCGCCTTGTGCAAAGCCCTGTGCTAGGCTGTGGAGCTGGACTCAAAGACAGTGGGGGAAGGGCGCCGCCCCTCATGGAGAGGAGGGTGCAGGCGCAAAGGGAAAGGCCACCAGGGCTGAAAGGAGAGACAAGGTGTTCCTGAACCTGCAGACGAGCAAGGCCGAGGGCGTGCTGGCAGCAGGGACCCCCCCACTGCCCGGCCCCACTCACCAGCGTCATGCCCAGAAAGGCCGTGCCCGTGTGCGTGAGCTGGTTGTTCCACAGCACCAAGGTCACCAGCCCCTTCCTCTGCTCCTTGAGGCCCTCGCAGATGTAGGCCAGACCTGGGGGAGGCCCGCGGGCAAGTCCCGTCTGTGGTCCGGGCGCCTCCCCCGGAGACATGGCCGAGGGAAGCCCCGCCACCCCTGACCCCCACCTCGCCCTGCCCGGCCCCACCACCATTGCTTTGGCAGTGCCCATGGCTCCCTTAATCCCCGGGCAGGGACACTCCTCTAGGGGGTGTTCCCTGTCCCCCGAGACCTCTGCTCAAATGTCCCCCGCCCCGCCCCGGCAGTCCCCGGCCAGCCAGCGCGGCCCCACCGCTGCTGCTTCGCTGGGCTGCAGAGCACATCTCACCACCTGACGGACTCGGCACTTTCTAGTCCGTCTCGGCCACGCATTTCCCGAGGGCGAGGGTCTCGCAGCCCGGGCCCGAGGCCACAGGCTGGGCAGCGGCCAGGTGGTCCCCAAACGCAGCGTCTGGGCCTGGCCCCACTCGCCCACGCCCCTCCCCCTTCTTCACAGAGGCCAGGGGACCCTGGTCAGTGGTGAGCCCATCACGGCGCCTCCCTCAGGAGGAAACTGAATTCCTCCTGCTGACAATTCCCCTTCCTCCCAACGCCTCCTGGCTCACCGCGCTCTCCCCCAAATGCCTGAGAATGACGTCTCAGTTCCTCCCCACCTCCAGCCTGCGCACTTGCCGCCACCTGGATCTTCTCCCAGGTAAAAGCCTATGAGTCCCGTTCTCGGCCTCCCCATCACCACCTGGACGCCCCCTCCCTGCCCCTCAACAGCGCTGTCCCCTTCAGGCCTCTTGTCCTGAACGGTCATCACTTTAACCATCTGCTCGACACCTCACCTCGTCCTACGCCTCCACAGAGCAGCCCCTCTTCCAGGACACCCTCCCTGACCCCCCAGCCCGTGGGTACCGGCCCTGGGGCCTTGCAGCCTGGGAATGGTCTGCATTCCCCACGGGACTGTGAGCCCCAGGAGGGCAGAGCTGAGCTCGTCTTGGCCACCACTGTGTCCCCAGCAGCACAGAGCAGCCGGCTGGGCACGGCGGGTGCTGGGGGACTGGAGGAAGGGTGGGTGGACCTCACACACACCGGAGTCCAGCACGTGGTTGTTCCGGAGGTCCAGGATCTGCAGGGAGCAGTTGAACTTGAGCAGGTTGCCCAGCTGGGCCGAGTCCTGCAGGCCGTTGAGCTTGTTGTCAGCCAGGTACAGCTCCCGGAGGTTCATGTTCATCTTCAGGGCCGTGGCTGGGGGCGGGAGGGCTCATGAGTGGCCCTGCCCAGGGGCCCAGCAGGCAGCCCCCGCCCTGGAGCGAGCCCCCGCCCCCCCCATCGCCGGCCCGGGGCTCACCGAGCAGCATGAGGGGCCGCCCCGACAGGCTGGCGTTCTCCAGGTGCAACACGGCCAGGCTGCTGCGGATGCGCAGGGCGCGGGCCACGAAGGGCGCCGAGTGGTCCAGCAGGGGCGTGTTGCGGGCGTCCAGGTACTGCAGGCAGCTGGTCTGGTGCGGCAGGAGCGGGGCTGGGTCAGGGGACCTCACAGCCCAGGTCCCAGCAGGTGGCAGGGCCATCTGGTGCTACAGCTGGGGACACTGGCTGCGGGGGACGGCCTGGTCTGGGGCCTGTGGGTGGTGAGCCTGAAGGGCTGGCTGCCCTGAGAAAGCGCCCGGGCCCTCTCCGTGCCTGAGCCCCCCACCCCGACCTTGGAGAGACCGTGGGAGGGGGGGTGCCCACCTTGCGCATCATGTGGGCAGCGGCCTGCCAGCCCCGGGTGCCGATGTGCTTGTTGAAGGAGATGTTGAGGTGGGTGGCGGACTCGTAGTACTCGATCATGTCAAAGAGGGCTGAGGCGCCCTTGGGGTGAAGACAAAGGGACAAAGGGGATCAGCGGGCGGGGGAGGGAGGGCAGAAGGCGGGGCCGACGCCCCACACGGCCCCAGACGCACCTCTGGGTCTCGGGGAGCAGCCCTTCCTTTTTCCTGAAAGAGCCCGTCCGCTGTCTCGCACGCGGCCCAGGACAGCCGTGCTGCGTGACCAGCACAGGGCCCTGGCACCCCGACCCGAGCCTCGCTTCTCCGGGACCCCTCCCCGCCAGCTCTCCTGCGTCCTCTAGGCCTGTGGCCCAAGCTCTGGGCTCCTGGGGACCCCGAGTCTGCGGAGGCAGCTTTCAGAAGCTTCTTGCTCTCCCCTGCAGGTGCTGTGACCTGAGGGGGGCGAGGAGGGGGCACAGGACACCCCCGGAAAGGCTCCAGGTGGCCACAACATCCCCTTCAGGCCCAACTCCCCAAGTCTCTCCCTTGTTTACACAGCCCCTGCCTTTGGGGGGTTTGTGAGACCCCCTCCTCTGGGCCTCAACGTCCTTCCCAGTCACTCCGGTCACACGGGACGTCTCCCTGTTTTGTCCCTTAAGAAGCCCTGCCCAGCCTTCGTCCAAGGGGGTTCCCTCCTCCTGCAGGGCCCCGTGCCCCCCAAACCTCTAAGGAGCCAGGGGGCTCAGGAGGCAGGCAAGGGCAGTGGCAGAGGCTGCTCACATCTTCGTCCAGGTTCGTCTGCTCCAGATCCACGACCTTGAACTGCAGCCGCTTGAAGACCTCTTCCAGGGCCTCGCAGGCCCGGTAGTCCAGCTTTTCCCCTGGAAGGAGGTGGAGCGCCAGGCATGGGCGTGAGCTCGCCTCTGTGTGTGTGGGGCTGGGTGCAAACGGGGGGGCAATGCCGGAAGGGCCCCCCCACACCTCTCTTCAGCCCCGCTCTACCTACGTTCTTCACACAGGATCCGGTGACCCCAGGCTGGCCCAGCCCCACATTCTGCCCTCAGATCCACCTCCAGGAAAGCTTGGCCCTGCCGACCTAGGCCCCGGCCCCCGCACAGACACACACACACCTTTCAGGTCCAGGCAGTCGATACGGTGCCCGAGGTCCGTGAACTCCTGGCAAAGCAGAATGGGTGGCGGTTAAGGCAGGGAAGGCCCTGCTGCCCGGGCTGAACCCTAGCAGTGGATGGCGGGGGGGGGGGGGGGGCTCGTCTGGCTCTGCCATTTCTGAGGCGAGGTCGTGCCCCAGGGTGGGGGCACCTCAGAGAGCAGGGCAGCGCCTGACCCAAGGGACCTGGGTGGGCAGGCCTGACACAGCCCCTCTGTCCCCACTGAAAGGAGAGAGGGCCCGGCCCCAGCCCCAGCCCCAGGGTGGGCGTTTCAGGCAGAGGGAACAGCCAGTGTGAAGGCTGTGCATCAGGCTGGGGGCTGGGAAGGCAGACAGGTGCGCCCCACGGGTGCCAGGTTCTCTGGCCGCCACGCGCACTAATGCACAGGGCGGGGCTGTCACGAACCCGCGTACAGACAAAAGGGCCCGGCCCTGCGGAGGGCCAAGCGCTGTGAGCGGCAGGCCTGGCCTGAACCAGGCACTGAGCAGCCATCTCTGCCTGGACCTGAAAACAAGACCTTCTGGAACCCACCACGGAACCTGCAACCCAGGTGCGCAGGGGTGGGTGGCGACGGGGCCGCTCACAGCGGCACTGAGGAAGCAGCGGCCCTGGAAACGTGGAACCTGGGAACGAGCTGGAGGGCGCTGTGCGGGGCCTCACCAGCTCAGCCAGGCCGGGGCCACGGGGGAGGCGTCAGCTGGACACCACAGGGGGTGGGGCGGGGGTGTCGCAGGCACAGTGGCACCTCCAGTCTACGCCTCGCCTGACCGTGGCCCGCTGTCTGACAGGTGCCCAAGAGACCAGAGCTGTCAACAGCAGGGACTCCCGGGGATGGGACTCGGGCAAGAAGAAGTGAACTTGGCTTTTCATGTCTAATATTGTAATTTTTGAAAAACGAGAGACCGTGTGTTTAGTGCTTTTGCAATTCAGGCTTTTAAGAATAAATACTGTATCCGTGGCTTTCCCCCTGGGGAACAGAATTTCTCTGGGGAGTGACAGACACCCGAAACTCTTACTTCACACACTTCCTACTGCGTAAGTGTTCATGAGGAGCCTGATGACTTTTACAGCCGAAGGGAGGATTTTCCAAGACGAAGCAGGCAGGCCGTCGGCTGGGTGAGCAGGCCGGGCAGGGGCGGGGGGGGCATGGCTTCACCCCCCCCCCAGGTAGCAGCCCCCCCCTGCCTGGCATACCTGGAGCTGCTTGAGGAGCTTGGGGATCTGTCTGCAGTTCAGCTTCTGGCAGGCCTGCTTGTAGGCACCGATGACCTCGTCCACGGTCACGTTCTGGGCTGCGGGGACAGAGGACCCCGGCCTGTGACTCACCACATTCTGGGGCCCCCTCCCCCCTCCCCCTCTGCCCTGTCCCCTCTCGGTCTCCACTGTGAAATGCCTCTTCCAACAACCCACTGCGCTCTGCCCTCCGGTCAGGGCCCTGGGTGCCCCCAACTGAGTCACCCCCTCCCCCTCCCCATGGCTCAGTGAGCAATTTCACACGAACAACACCCAACTGATATCACAGAGTTTTCTACTCTCAGCCGTCTGCCCCCCCCCGAGACTGGGAGGGCTGAGGCCAGCCTGGTCACCACCGGCCCCGGCAGGCACCATCAGCCCAGGGCCAGCCCCACAGCCTGTGTTCATGCTTCTTTAAAGGAGGGGATGAGTCTGCACCCCCGCGAGCTCACAGAGGCAGGGCCCCGCCCAAGGTCACGCAGCTGCCGAGTGCCGGGGCGGCTCCGAACTCAGTACTGCGGTGCCGCGTGGCCTCTGAGAGACCCCCCACCCCTGAGACACCCCCAACAGCGAAACCCTCCCCCCGCAGCTGCACAGCCCAGCGTCCCCCAGCCCCCACGGGACGGGGGAAGGAGACCGGCCTTTCTGTCTGCACAGATGTGCCCCCCCCGACATCCACTACGAGTGGAGATGAGCAGAGTGTGGCCTCTGAGGCTTCCGAAGCAGGACGTAGGGAGCTCGAGTCTGCGCCCAATGCAGCGCCATGGAGTCCAGTGCACTGCCCCTCGGGCAGGGAGACGCGGGTGCTGTTTCGGGTTCTGGCTTTTGGATCCTGCCCCGGGGTGACCAGGAGGACAGGAAGGAAAGGCTGAGCAGGGGAGGGACAGGGTCGGGCCTGGGGTAGAAAGCTTTGGGGGCCCAGGGGGCAGGAGGAGGGGCTCTGGCAGCCCTCCTCAGCCCCGCCTCACCCAGGCATGGCCCTGTCCTGGCCCTCGGGGGGGCCAGCAGGAGCTCCTGCACAATCCAGGTGAGCGCCCGCCAGCAGAGTCTCCCTCCAGCCACCGCTCTTGCCGGGGGCTGCACCCCAATATCTCAGCAGTCACCACCCTGTTCCCTGGGGCCCGAGGTCCAGGAGAGGAAAGCCGCCTCCCTGGGGCTGGGCAGCGGGTGCACACGCCGAGTGGGACCCATGTTCCGGAAGGAGCTCTCTCCCCGCTGCGCTGGGCAGGCGGGCAGGCTGCAGCCACTGTGCCTGGGGGCCAGCTGTCAGCAGTGACCCCAGCCTCCTCGGATAGAGGTCAGGCCTGTCCCTCTGTGTCCCCCACCTGCGACCTGTATGGAGCTGTGGGCAACGAGCAGCCCGGGGGGGGGGGGGCAGCTGTCCTTGTGCACCCGCCCGGTGCAGAGCTCTCGGCCAGGCGCTTGGGGCCCCCAGCTGTGCGGGGGCAGGAGCAGGCCCTGCCTGGAAGGCAGCAGCTGCCTCGGGGAGCCTGGCCGAGCGGATCTGCGACCCTCAGGGGTTGAGGACCTTCAGTGGGGAAAACTGCCCCTTTATTTTCACGGGCTGAACTGAACTTCAGCGTTTCCTGCCTCGTAACACAGGCAAGAAGAGAAAAAGGAAATGGCGTGCAGCAGACCCTGCCACTGCCATCGACATGCGCGGCCGATGCTCTCGCGCGGCGTGACTGCAGCTGTGGGATGCCGCCACCACGCCGGGGACCGCGGGCGTCCGCGCTGACGCCACCTCCTGCCACACTGCCTGTCGACGAGGGACAGCACAGACGCCAGGGCTCGGCTTTGAAAAGTTTAACTAACTGCACTTTCACTGGTGCCCTTTGCAATCCTATTTTATTTTTTCCTTTTAAACATCATCACTTCAGCCCTGGCTGGTGTGGCTCCGTGGACTGAGAGCGGGCCTGCGAACCAGAGAATCAAGGTTCGATTCCCAGTCAGGGCACATGCCTGGGTTGCAGGCCAGTTCCTGGCGGGGGACGCATGAGAAGCAACCACACATTGATGTTTCTCTCCCTCTCCTTCCTTTCCCCTTTAAAGATAAATAAGTAAAATCTTTAAAAAAAATCATCACTCCAGTCCTGACTGGATATCTTGGTTGGTCAGAGAAATGTCCCCCTAGGCCAAGGTTGTGGGTTCAATACCCAGTCGGGCCACACACAAGAATCAACCAGTGAACGCATAAATTAAGTGGAGCAACAAATCGATGTTTGTTTGTCCCCCCTCCCCCGTCTCTAAAATCAATCAATAAAAATTTTTTAAAAATCGTCACTCCAAGAAGGGTCCACAGGCTTTAGCGTCAGATGGCCAAGAAGCACAAACCCGTCCCCCAGACACACTCCCTTCGCGAAGGCCCCAGGCTGGGCACGCGTGGGACCATCGCCACAGTTCCCAGCACCCCAGACAGTGTACGGGGTGCGGGTGACACCTGAGCAGACCCTCGAGCTGCGACTGGTCCCTGAGGTGTTCGGCTCTGACACCCCTTCCTCCAGGAAGTCTTCCCCGACTGGCCGGACGGAGCCAAGCTTCTCCTCTGCCTCCCAAAGTCCGCATGGAGCCTCCTGGGTGAGCTGAAGGCCCAGGGTCTCTCGCCTGGCCGCCTCTACTCCCCCCACGGCCGCCCTCTGACCATCCCTTCAGCCAGGCATCTACCGGGTTTGGACAAAGGCACAGCCTCACAGGAGGTCACAGCCAGAACTCTCAGAGATTAAACCTGTCCACCCATTTACAGAAGGGAAAACCGAGGGGAGGGCATAAGGGGTGGACGCACTCGGAGGAGGGGCCTGGTGCCCCTGACGATAAGAATAAGAACTGCGTCTTGTCACTTCCCTCCATGGCCTGAGACACAGCTTGGGGGTGAGGGCAGCACCGGGAAAGGACAGGAAGGGACGAAAGCAGGGCTCGGTCAGGCCTGGGTGCCCCCCGCCCCGCCTCAACGGCCCGACAGCAGCATGAGCTCGTCTGGAGCCTGCCCTGTCAGCAGCAGGGACGCACGAGGGATGCATGCAGTACCCTTTGGGAACAAGACGGGATGCGTCCGAATAAAAGAATGAGCCAATCTAAGGAAAAATGGGAGAAATCAGCACCCCAGGTGGGGCCCCCCCGGGGCGAACGTGCAGTGTGTCCCGGCACTGATGCCTGCAGGCCGCCACACCCGGTCCCCCTCGGGGTGGTGAGGGTGGGCAGAGGGGAAACTGGGGGAGGCTCGGATGTCCATCCGGGAGTCTGACGTCTGTCTGCTGTCCATTGGGGAGAGCAATGCAAGGGGACCACCCCAGTGCACAGGCCCTGAGGCGATGGGCCAGGCTGCCAAGGGCGGGCGGGACGCCGACTGAAGTGACTACTAGGGCCTGGGCCACCGCTGCCTCCGCCCGCCCTGCCACCTGGGACAGGGCCTCCCCAGTGCCACCCCGGATGTGGGGCTGGAAAAGCGGATGGAGGTAAGAATGCGGCTGCAGGGCCAGAGCACCTGGGGTCCCGTTCTGGCTCCTAGGTCAAACTCAGATTCGGGGCCCCGACTGCCGCCCCCCCGGAGCCCGGGTGAGCAGAGCTCAGGCTAATGGCGTCTGTCCCTGGGGACAGGGCTCACTCTCCCCCGGGGGAGGCAGGGACACCGGACGGGCCCACAAGGGCACCTGTCCAGGCACGAGATGGTCAGGCCAGGACGACACGCGGGTGTGCGAGGTGGACACTCGTTTGAGTGTCTCAGGTCAGGGTTCAAATGTGTCTGCTCGACCCCCCAGTCCAAGGCTCTGACGGGCTGACTTAAGCAGGGGCTGGAGTTCCGAGCGCGAGGGGGACTGTAGTGTGTGAGGGACAGAGGACGTCACTCGGGCTGGGGATGGGATGCGCAGAGGTAGGGGACCCGCACTCTAGTCCTTGTTCTGGGAGGCTGCGGTGACAGCCCGGAGTGGTCTCCCCCGCACCCCGAAAGGGCCGCCTGCAGATCTCAGGACACAAGGACACCGTGAAGGAGCTGCGCCAACGGCGCAGCGCTGCGTCAACGGCGCAGCGCTGCGTCTCACTCCGCAGGGGGCGCGCTGGAGGAAAAGGGGCCGACGAGGGCCACCGCTCCAGGTCTGCCAGCGGAACTCTGCTGACCGCGCAACCCTGGGGCTCTCCAAGCGGATTGGCTTCCCCCCAGCAGACGGGGCGGGGCGCACAGTGGACACGCCCTCCGCCCAGGGCCGCGGGGTTGGGGGTGGTTGCACTGGATCACACCGCCCCAGCCCTGCCTCGCTCTGAAACCAGAGATGGCTTTGTTCTCACGCTACCTTTGACTGAGGAGGAGAAAGGGGGCAGAGACAGGGGCTGGCTGAGGGGACCCCTGGCCTCTGGGCGGGGCCACAGGGAAGGTGTGGGCTCTGGGGAGGGGCGAGCAGTGGGGCAGCTGGCGGGCAGGGCCCCCGGCAGGGCTGCGCCTCTGCCGTGCCAGCCGCTGGCACCAGTCTCACAGGAAGAGGCTGCGGAGCAAACAGGGCCTGCCTCCCCTCCCACCTGCCATGGCCCTCGGAGGGACAGAGAAACCCGATGCTGGGCATCAGGTGACAGAGAGAAGTCTGTCCCTCTTTGCACACAGGTGCAAAGGCACCCATGAGATGCAAGGACAGGATGGACACCAGCGGGTGGCACTGACTCAAGCCATCCCTGCCGGCCTGGGGTGGGGGGTGGACGGAGGACAGACACGGCCAGCCATCCAAGTGACAGTCAAAGACCAGGAAGCAACAGTGGGGTGTGGGAGAGGGGACAAAGGGGGATGGGGGCCAGCATTCCCCGCTGGGGCTACAACAGCTAGTGGGGGACCCAGGTGGGGTGGACACAAATACAGCAAGGGGTGGGGTGTGGCGGGGTGGGGGGGACGCGGTCGGGCTCGCAGCGTGAGACGTGAGCCACAGGCTGGATGCCGAGCAGCGAAAGGAGCTAGTCACGCCTGGGGGGATCGTATCCTATAGGGATGGGCACCCCCTGGAGACCTGGGGGGGCCCACTGTGTTCCCTAACAGGCAGGCTGTCGGGATTACACAGCGAAGGCATGAGCCGTGGTCCCC